ACTTCCCCAGTCTTTGCCATTTCTCCTTCCCTAGAAGAGAAGCTCATTTGAAGGTTCAGCTGTCATAAAAAAAAAATGCAGCCACATTTGGACATTCCATTTCCAGTGAGCACTGGAAAGAGTGCTGTAGGTGCCAGTTACAAAAAGGCATTGGGGCATTTAAGAATACAAAATGGCCGCCACTGTGAAAACAGCAGGCATCCCAACTTCACCTGCACCCATTGAGAAAAAAGGCATGACATCAGCCACTGTTGCATTTGTTCAAAGAGGTGCGCTATTTGCACAGAAGGGAGGGGCAGTGGGTGTCCAGTCCTGGTACCCAGTGAAATCGGGGCATGTTTTAGGTAGCATGCTCAGTGCAGGAGGAACAAACTCTCTCATACGTTGTGGATTTTGGAGGGGATAATTGCTGCAATTTTTTGCAGCTGCCATAAGAAGTACTGGTGGGTGCACTTGGCACTATAGCTGAACTTGATATGATCCAGTTGCAGCACGTCTTGAGCTTGTGCGCTCTCTCTTCCTTTGAGTAGTTCAGAAGCTGTCACATGTGCTTTGGTTACCTGAACCAAGAAACTATGGGTTGTTTAAAATTATTGTGTATGACTAACAAAGTGTGCTTTCCTTACATGGGGCAGATACCAGAAACCTTGTGCTATCTATTCTGAAGTCTGACTAGATACGGAATATATGCAACCTTCTTTTTATAAAAGAGCTGCTTCCTATAAAAATCATAAAGTTACTACCCGAGCTGGTAAAAATTAAGGTGCTGGCATACACACGTGAGTTGATAAATGGTAAAATGTCTCTTCCACCCCTCCCCTCTTCCTGCAACCCTGTCTCCCTTCTCTATTGAATTTGAGATGAGTTTTAAGTATATATTTTATTCATATATTTCAAATAAAAAATATTTAAGGTCCTTCTTTTGAAACTGCACACATATATTAAAATTGCCGTTAACAATATGGTCAGTTGTCATGAACAAAATCAACTACTGCATGATGTGTCCTTCTTACTAAACGACAAGGAAGCGGGTGGCGCTGTGGTCTAAACCACAGAGCCTCTTGGGCTTTCCAACCAGAAGGTTCCAGTTCTCCCATCATTCACCACTAGGAGTCACTATTAGAGGATCAAGTATGATTGAGCATAATCACCAGTTTCTCTGCTAGGCCTTACTGATTGTACAGAAATGCCAAAATGGAGCTGGGAAAATGTTTCCAGCTTCAGGGTCACATGCCTGGAAAGGTTACTCATGTGAGGAAGTCAGTGGTGGGTCAGTCAAAGCCACATATAAACCCCTTATGAACATCATCCCTCCCCCATGCACTATAAATGACAATGTATGAATAGTAGTGGGATTAGAGATGTGTGTGGATCCTCTCATGTGAAAGGGACCTTGTCTTAGCATAAAGCAGCTTCCTCTTGATACAGCGGCCCATCCCTTGTAATCTGATTAAATTCACAGTAAACTGTATTTTCGCACAAACCTGCCATCTCTATTTAAGAAAATAAGAGGCAGGGAACCAAATGTGCCTTAAAAGCAAGGGCTCTGTTATTTTCTGCTAAACACGAACAATGTTTAGAACTCATTGAAACCTTGATTTTCCAGAATGAAGTATTGCCATGACAGATGTTTTTTGCCTCTCAGATGGTCAGCTTATGCATGTTACACACTTTTGAAACAATTTTTTGTTACACAACAGTGCCATGTTCTCCACAACTGACAAACCTTTCGAGACCTTAACCACGGGAAGAATGCAATATAAATAAACAACACTTGGTGCTCTTGCAAGTGACAGAAGTCAATCTTTGGTTTTTCTTTTAGTTACCCAGTGCACTACAGCTGTGATACTGAGTGGCTGAAGCTAACTTGGAAAACAGCCTTCGTTAGATGAAAATACTGTATCCAATTTCAGCTTGTTGACCTGAAGCTCTTAAATAATTAAATCTTTGCAAACTTATCTTGTTGCTCTGGAAAAGTCGTCCCTGTCTGCAGATTTTGTGAAGTGGTTTGGTCTTTTTGAGCATTCAAGGGTGCTTGTTCTTCCTCACCCAAGAAAATACGTCTGGATCTATTTCTGGGAAGTTGCCCATAAATTCCATTGTGGGGGACGTGACACCATCACCTTCCCCTGCTTTGGGTGAGAACTTGGAAGCATACAGAGGGGAAGCACAAGTCACTTTCTCTTGCACTTACTTTGAATGCTTAACACTACCCTAATTTAAAATAGTTTGCACCCCCACTTATTATTGCCCCCACTCACCTTTTTTTTTTAAACTCCCAACATTTATTGCTTGCCCCTTATCAAATTCTAGATAAGGAGAAGGGCTACAATTGCTCCAGGGTTGCAGAGCAACTTCCTTAGTGAGGTTAGAAACTGCTCTGGTTTTACAACTTTTGAGAGAAGGTACAAAGCATCCGTCTTTTGAGAAGCGGATGGCAGGGAGGGGAAAGAGCATTGTTGGCTCATTTCTGTGGTATATTGTTTTTATTGCTACTTCTGGTTTTTTTGCTGGAAGTTGCCTCATGGCTTGGAGAAGTGATATTCAGTTGTTTTAAATAGATATGTCATAAAATACATGTCTTTGTCAACCTTTAAGCAAGGCACACATGTGTATCTTCCACAGATAACGTTATTTATTTAGAACATGGGTAGGCAAACTAAGGCCCAGGGGCCGGATCCAGCCCAATTGCCTTCTAAGTCCGGCCGGGGAATCAGCGTGTTTTTACATGAGTAGAATGTGTCCTTTTTATTTAAAATGCATCTCTGGGTTATTTGTGGGGCATAGGAATTCGTTCATTTTTTTTTCCTTTCAAAATATAGTAACATAGTCTGCACACACACACCCCCAAGGTCTGAGGGACAGTGGACTGTCCCCCTGCTGAAAAAGTTTGCTGACCCCTGATTTAGAAGCTTGTGTCATTTAATAATTTACTAAGCTCCTGAAACATAGCCTTTGTGTATTATAACTATATTTATTTTATGATCCATTTGTGATTTTGAAACTTTTTCCAAAAATAAGAACATAAGATGTTTTTCAAAATCAAATTTTATTATGGTTCAGAGACAGGAAACTTTTAAAGGTGTATATATTGATCCCATGACCTCAGCTGCAGGATTTTGCTACAGTAAGACAACCATGTTGCAAAGTTGTTGAGGACTTCAGTAAGCATTCGAGATGGATAGATATCATTTAAACAATACTACTGGGCAAATGAAATACTGGTAATGATCTTTTTCATGGATTTATAAATGGTCCCACTGCAGTTAATTTTCCTTTCCCACAAATAACATCTGCCATCCTGGACTGAATAATTTTTCCTGCTAAATATACTTACATGGAAATGTTCTTCACTTTTATACCTCAGGACTCTTTGGTTTAAGACTGGTATCTCCTTAGTGGCTGGTTCATAGTGTTTTGGGGCCAAAAAGCATAATGGTCACAATCTTTGTTCCTGCCACTCACCTCCAAAGCAGGAGGGTAGGGGTTCAATTTAAAGAATAAATAGGGAATGCGAGTGCCAAGATGTTAAACCTTCACTTCCCGGCCTGTGGCTTACCTCTCTGCTGTCCAACCAGGGCTGGTATTGATGCTGAAGCTTGTAAATACCTGTCTCGGAAGGTGAGCTTGCCCTGTTTGTAATTCTCTTGTTGCACCACAAAGACATTCTGTAAAAACTTGTCAGTTGTCTGGGAGAAAGCGACTCCCTTTTGCTCTTTAAATTAGACCGCCACCTCCCCACTTTGTACGTGCTCGGTACAGACCCGCATTTAAAGAAATGGGTCTGCTGCAGTGCATCTAAGTTTGGTCCTTAGAAGGGACCTTGCAAACTTCTGCATCCCTGTGGCATCCATCAACCACAGCAAACACATGTGTGCTGATGTCCCTCTATCCACCTCTTCCTTATCTGATGAATTAATAAGAGAGGTTGCTTAAGAAGGAACCACTGTTGGCCATGGCTGCTGAATATTGCTATGGCCTTGTCTTTTCTTGCCAGATTTGAGCTGCACTAGGGAGGTAAAGAAAAAGCTGCAAGACTACTTTCATAGTTTCTCTGGTGTCAAGTGTTTTTCTTCTGTTCTTCCCCTTCACAACTTCAGGCAAAAACAACCGTTCCTCCTGTCTACTGGAAAAATCAAAGGTGCTGCAATGGTGATTCTTGGGCAACCTAAGTAGCAGCTTTCTCCTTGCAAGAAGCATGACTAGAAAAGGCTTCTCCCTTAGATGCCTGTAGCAGCTGTCCCAGCCATCAGCATGTTAGCGTACCAAACTTCTTTCTATATACATGGTGTTGCATAAACACTTGGCGCAAACAATCTCTTGTCTTGGTTAAGATATCAGAAGAGCTCTTCAAGATCACATACTCCTTTTGCTTCTGGCTTATGTGCTCCTACTTCTCTCCCTCTGTCCACACAAATTAAGTCTGCACTGATTTCATCACTAATGGTTGTTAAATCAGAATTTGAAATCAGCTTCCAAACTTAACATCAAAATCTGGTTTAAGGCTAGCAGTAGTTAATTGTTAGCTTAGTGCAGACATGATGCTAAGCAGTCAGCACTAAACAAGGACAGGGGAAGTCAAAGGGAGATGAGGAACAGTATGTGAGTTCATGGAAGGAGAGTAGACAGTCCGAATCTCTTAAATATATTCAATCTGTACCAAACCGAAGAGGCTGACATAGGAACATTTATCCAGTGGCAAAGCAGCAAGTTCTGGGCTGCATGTCATTTTTAATAAGCTAATTTTTTACCCCTAATAAATATTAAAATGAAAGTTATTAATTTCCCCAAGTAATATTTTTATCTCCAATAACTGATTGTAAGAATCCTGCAAAGGATATTTATCAGTAGGTGTTATTGATGGACACTAAACCGTGTTCAGAATCAAAGTCTTTGATCCTCAATGTTTTAAAGATATTTTGGTAAGAAACCTAAAGACTGACAACATGTTTGCTTTGAATATTGATTACCAAGGCAATAATTTCATTTCAACCTTATAAATACATAATAAATATTTATTAAATACATGTTTTAAAATGTTTCTTAATGTTATCCACCCTGAGCTTTCAGCAAGCAACAGGGTGGGTTTAAGAAAAACAAGCCAAATAAATAAAGGTGTACATGCTTGACAGAAGTAAACAGAAGACGTGTAAGCTATGTCATTTTACAAAAATAAAAATTAAAAATGGCTAAAGCAAACAGCTATGCAATTATTAGAATTCTCTCGAGTATTAACTCAAAACAAATTCTAGAGCTCAATTTCAATCTACATGTTTAAGAGGACGAGTTCCACACTATTTCTGCCTCCTGTCATCAAAAAGGACTTAATAGAGAACAATATAGAGAGAACACATATAACTAAGGCACAATCCAGACAAAGTTTAAGGTGTGTAGTCCCACTGATTTCAATGGGAAGTTCAGCACATGCATAACCACCTGTTTTCCTCCTGGAACACAACTCTTATCACTGTGCTCCTCTCAACAATTTGTCCCATCTCATCTAATCTTGCTATCTGCCCTCTCATCCTTATCCCCCTCTCTTTTAAACTAACTAGCTTTCTAGCTCTTGTCAATCATCTTTCCAATGACTTGGCATTACTTACACATAATGTAGCAGGCGTGGAAGTTTCTGCACAAACTCTTCTTTTTTCACTGGTATCAACTAACTTCCTATAAATTCAGTGAACAATAACATTGTAGCCTTTGACTCTCTCTCGCTTTCTCTTGGTCTTCTAAAGCATTCTACTGCTAAACTTCCTATTCTTCCATTTTGCCACCCTGCTAGATTTCTGCCTTACATAACCAACTGCATATGCTGCAGTCATTGACTGTTGAACATGCTGTCAAGTGATGCAGTTTGTTCACCACCATGACATCACAGATCAACCGCCTCACACAGATGCCAACTCAAATACAATGCATATCAATGGAGACAATCCACACATTCAGCTTAGAGTAATAACCTGATGAGATCAATTGATGAACAAGAATGTGTGAGTCAGCCAAAAGGCCTGTTTATGCCTTAGTTACTTCTCACTTTGACTATTGTAGACTCTACTTGTCTTCCCCCTTCCCATCCTGATTGCTTTCATTCTGACCAAAACTCCGTCAGAATTATCAATGACTAGTTACAGGCAGCCCATCCAACTACATTTCTGGTTCTTCCATTGGCTACCCCTCATCCTTAGGAATGGTTTCTCTTTCTAGCCAGTGCTAGATCGTTTACTTCTTCAGCATCATATATACCAGTTTCACAGTTAATTTCAAATGTGGAGCCATCTTGTAAATGGGACATTCCAACATGAAGCGGGAGTGTGTGTGTGTGTGTGTGTGTGTGTGTGTGTGTGTTTGAGGTTGGTGAGTCATTTGTGAACATTAAATTTTTTGTTGGAATATTTTATTATTAGTGTTTTAATGTTCTTATTTCCATTTCAGGTGGGCTAGTTGATGTTGTAACTATCTAAAACTGAAAGCAATAATGCCAGAGAGACAAAAATGCTGTAAAATAGTTGATGAATCAATTCAAAGGGTGGGTGGCATTGAGATATAAGCTACATTACTTTTAAGAGTGGTAACTGTGCATCGCCGGTCAAGCCTGGAATTTTTAGTTACTGTGTTGGCTATCAGATAGCGATAGTAAGGCAACACAAAATGTAGGTTATGCTACAGATGCACAAATCTCAGTCAGTTACAAAAAATATGGATAGTCAATTGTGTGATGGCTAGATTTTGTTAAGAAGTTTACATGTTCTACAATGACATTCAAAATGTCATTGTACTGAAATGTACTGTGCTCAGGGTTCTTGTTGATTTTGTCTCTTCACATGTGAGAAGTTTGGTATCATTTTACGGAATTTTTATATTGTTATTGTTTTGCTTTTTTTAATCTAATTCTACTGTAAGATCTTTTGATTCTAAAGGAAAAGTGTAAGAGAAATTTAATTAACCAAATTTAACAGAGCAAAATTATTTACTACAGTCTCAATATTTTAATAACTTGGAGGTTTATACATTCTATCACTTATCTATTTTACTGTGCCTGTAGAAATATAACCTGTTCCATTAAAATAATTATGTAAATATCAGTAAACTTTGAAATGAATTCTAAGATCACAAATGATTTCTGGACCTCACAGACCAAACACATGATAGATCATAGAATCATAGAGTTGGAAGAGACCACAAGGGCCATCGAGTCCAACCCCCTGCCAAGCAGGAAACACCATCAGAGCACTCCTGACATATGGTTGTCAAGCCTCTGCTTAAAGACCTCCAAAGAAGGAGACTCCACCACACTCCTTGGCAGCAAATAGATACCATGTGTATCCTCATATGATACGGAAACACAACAAAATGTTTAGTTTTTACACTTCTGCCTTGTTGGAATTGATGCATTTCTCAAGATGGTTCCACATCTTCAACTAAACTTATAACTGTTTTCTACAATCTTGGAAAAGCAAGCATTGTCAGAATTATCAGTTTTCATACAATAATTTCATTTGTCACCCCACTTATTCTTGTTCTGGTCTTTTATGCTCTCCATAACCTTACTTTCTCATTCTTCTCCAAGTTCCCATCCATAGCCTTTGCCTAGAACCTTTCATTTTGCACTTGCTCTATCCTTTTACACCTTGAATGTTTTCCTAAAATAAACTCTTACAAATTCTTTTTGTCCCTTAATAGCCCTTCTACCTGTTATCGTCCTCCTCATTATGTCTATCTACAAACTTTATAATAAACCATGCATCTTTTTGTGTACTCTTCCAATTCTTTATTATTTCCCCCCATATTACCTGGACTGTGGGGTTTTTTGGACAGTGAGTATCTTGCGCGTCACTAGCACTTGGTGTATGATTTTAGTTATGGAATTTTCAACTGTTTGAAAAGAAAAAACCTCCATAAAGGAAGGCAGCAAGTTATACTAAATTTCCAATAAACATAAAAAATTGAAATCAGCTAACAATGCACATAGCATTATCTGTCAATTATCACAGATATGATGAGAATGTACACACATCAGAATAAAATTTTAGAATTGCTTTTAGATGGGCTGCATATTACGATATATACTTTTCTAAAGTATACCACAGCACTCAAGATATCTGCAGTAATTTGCAATTGCAAAGATATTGCTTTTTAAAACCATTTTCATGAAATAAAGTTGCTCTCAAGTCATAGATAAAACTAAAAACTCCTTTGTTGCAACCTTTATACATGTTTGCACCTCAAAAAAGCAACAACAATAAACACATAAGTAGCAGATTGACATAGTGCTTTATTTAAGCTGTCTTTACGAAGGAAAATAATGTGCATCCCTATCATATATGTGTAAAAATACTAAGGATGTACAGTGTACAAAAACGGCTGTTGTTATTTCACATCCTTGTGGGTCATATGCTTAAGGAAATAAACAGTTTAAGTATGACCAACAGTAATACGGTTTCTTGGATTTTTTAGTGTCTGCTTAATGTCCTTAACCATAGGACTAGATCTGTCATGGGTCTAATGAAAGAACTAGCAAGGTCAAGAAATTTCACAAACTCTAAAGCTACAGGGAGGTAATTCAATTACCATTTTTGAGTTTTTATTTAAATAAATACTTTACATTTCATGCTTGCCTGTAATGCACTATACCAGGAGCAAGATAAGGAAATTCTACTGTAGACGGTACAAACAGTAGCAGCAAAGTGTGTACATTGAGGTGTAATATAGAGACCCTGCAGTTAGTAAGGAAAAACCTTACGTTTGTACTCTAGGAAAAAGCACATGGCCTGTGCAAGAACTGCCAGCTTCAAGAAGCAAACAAACAAAAACAATTTGAAAGTTTTATAAAACAATACTGGAATAGAGGCTCTGCGATTAGCAAAGATGTTTTGGAAGAATTGTTAGTGTGGAAAGCAAAGTTTGTGTGCAAAACTGCCAAAACATAAATAGAAATGACCTATTTCCTCAAAGGTAGCTGCAGTACAAGAGGGCACACACGATGTCTTGGAAGCCAGTACAAGCTGGAGTCAACAAGTCTGAAATGTACTATGTTTTTTTCAAACTCCTGTCAAAGTCTAGCCAAACTCAAGAGGAAGCTGTGACGAAGCAGAAGAGAGATTTCAAGAGTGTATTTTAGCTGCAGCTTTGATTGATTTATGAGTATGAATTGAAGTTTTCTCTCAACCTCCAAAGGGTCATTCCATGTAGGAACATGAACTCAAATATCATTTTTGCTTTCTTTTCCCTCCCCACAGTAAATGTAACTTAAAGGAACAAAGTTCTATATGCAAACAATACAGTAAATGCAGACAGCTGACCTGAAATATCAAGCCACCTTTAATTGTTCTGCTCATCAGGCCAACAACATGGGTTACAGTGGGCTGTAGCCAACCTTATGCAAGCAGAACTTCACTGCTGCCACAGTTCAGTTCTTGCCACATCCCAGCCCAAGGCAGAGGAAAGCTCAATTCAGACTTCCACTTGCACAATGTGAAACACAACGACAATGACCTGACCTGATAGGTGACCTTATTAAAATATTTGTGACACTATTTGGAGCCTTCTTGAGCTGACAAAAATAGTCAGAACAAAACTATTAATTGACATGCCAAAACTTATGCCTTGTATAGTCTAGGAACATATGTAATTCTGTGGGCTAATTTGTAATAAATTAGAGAAATGTGACTAGATAGAAATTTCTATGGCATTCTCCTCTGTAGTATTGTGAGGAGGAGGTTTCCCTGCACCTTCTTCACCTCTAGATCCTCCCGTCCATTAATGAGACTGCAGGGAAAACTGGGTCAAGTGAGGAATCCAAAGGGTAGTACAGAGGAAGAGTGATGGTGGCACGGACTATGGAACAAGCTGAAGAGACTATTGTTTCCTAGTCTCCAGTTAGTGGCTAGATTTCAGCCTGCTGTTGATCTGTGGATAAACCAAAGTTCTCCATATCATGACCTATGCTGAATTGTGACAGATGCATACCCACATGACAGCCAAAAGGGTAACTGCAAATCTTCAATGGTTTTCCTAAGCTTGCACCCCACCAAACATTCAGGACAGCACTCATAGATATGTGTGGCTAAAGTATAATCTTCTGACAAATAAGAAACTATTTGCACCTGTCAAAACTGTCCCAAACCTTCCATTGCTAGCTACCCCTGCTCTGAAGATGCCAGGAACAGCTGGACTGCTTTTTTGTGGTGCCATAAATGCACTGGAGAACAGATTATTTGAAGATCAACATTATGATACTTGCCAAACTTCACTGATGGGAGCTTTTATAAACATAAACATAAATGGAGGATGAGTACCCCCAAAGGATGCATATATACTTGTGAGCAAATGCATGTAAAGGAATGCCTCTGGAATGGTACAGCACATCTACTTTAGAAGGATGGTCTGATTACATCCATTTATGAAATACAGTGGGTGACGCTCCACCATCCCATCCTCCTGAAATCTGCTGTATATTACCTCCCAACCCTCTAGAGCAATTTCAGGGGCTGCAGGAAAGGGTTATCTGATACACCAATGGTATCCATGCTGCTGGCAGATGGCCGCTGTTGGATTGCATCCCGTGTATTCCCTAGCCAATCCTACGACTGAGCTGATCAAATAACCAGCTATCCAGCACCTTAGAAATCGACACAAGGCAAGCTATGGGCCATACAACAAAACAAGTGCAATGCATGCAAAAATCAGTGGCATGTGTCTTGGAAGAGGAGTCCTATGTGGCAATGAAAGCAAATATTATTTTAATGAGTAAACACTTTCAGTCTTGTGTCAAGGCTAACTTCAACTGAATTAACCAACATCACTGCTGGTTTACACAAGGAATCCATCTTTGTGTGTGTTATATCTATTTCATATTCCATCTCCAATTCAAGCCAGGCCTGCAAATGGAAACCCTTATTAGAAAGCTACCATTACCTTTCTACCAGCCCACAGAATAAGAGCTTGCTTATGTTCCCAGACCAACAGGCTGCCATTTCTGAAATCAATCAGATATATTACTAAGGCAAATACACTAATTTTGAAATGGTCATTAGAATAAGAATTTGAACCATTTCAACAATTTTGTTGTGTTTTTCAAATTGTGGAAGTGGGACAACATGGAATGACTCCACCGCTTAACCTATTGCATGGATTTCAATAGCTTCTATAAATAATATTCTAACACTGAGATATAGCAGCTTGATAATTTTGTTATATCTAAATGAATATTTATATGGATTAGGAAATATTTAAGCCATGGAAAGGCATACTTGTTCCTATCCATCAGGGCGGTTCCATGTGCAGATCCCATGCTTACCTAAGAAAGGGTCCTGCGCAGGGAAGCGATTCCACATCTAACCCCAGGGCTGTGCATGTGGTGCCCCTTACAAGATTAGGCTGGTACAGATCTGACACACAGATAACAAGTGGTGTTAATGCTTTGATAGGGCTGCTCATTTGATTGGAGGCAAAGGTTAAAGAGCTCTTCTCTCCCCTTTTCTGCGCTAAATGGTGAGGAGAACTTCACAACTGACTACACTGTCCATCTGGCCAGCAGAGAAATTCCTGCATATAAGAAACACAGGCTCGGGACCACCATAAATATTATCAAGTGATCACATTTGGTATACACTGGTCATAAAACAAAAGTTCTGTCTAGCCACTGAGTCATTCTGATTGTTTGTTACTACTTCGGTGTCACAACCTCTAACACCAAGTGTAGACGTAGTTATATTCTGCACGCCATCCACTCAAGAGGTGTCCATTAATCATGACCTACTGTGGTGCAAAGATACAATAAAATCTACTTTGCTTATGGAAAGTATGTGTTTGTCTTAGCTGCCTTCATAAGATGCCTACATGCCTCTTGATAGCCCTGGCATGTCCCACTGCCTGCAGTGGTTATCATTCCAGGATATTGAAATTCTCAGCATCAAGAGGCTAAGACGTCTGCATGTAAATATTATTTTCTTCTCAGAAGTCATGTACACATTCATACACAGCAATCGTAATACTAAGCTAAATCACAGTTTGTTACAGGAGTTGAAAACATAATGAAGCCAAGATACTTTGATGATAACCCCATGGAGTGGCATTCGGTGATGTCATTACCACTGGCATGCAATGTTATTACATTTAGTGGCTCATTTGGAAAATCCCAACTCCCAGCCCCAAAGGCTGTATTAGAGATTGCCTTCCCTCAACAGGTTTACATCTTAAAAGAACAAAATAATGGATTCAAATATCCTAGTCAATAAATATGATGAGAAAGGTAATTCAGTACACTGACAATGTTATGTCCGTTGTGGCCAGAAATCAAACATCACTTTTAAATGGCTGTTCCCGTCAATCTAATATATTGTTTGAAACATTATAGCACAGGGGTGTTGGTTGTAATCATTGTGGACTTCGTATCACTGAAAAGTTCAAGTGACTATCAGACTCCTATACCACATGGAGTAGAGAGTGCATGGCGCTGGGGTTTTCTCTTGACAATAATGAAATGTTTCCACTACAGAAATCTGATTCAAAGTACAGGGTACACTTTCAGAGTCTTGTTAACATCTTCACATGGGAGAAAAAAGTGCATTATTTTGTTCAGCTTGTACAGTCCTTCCATACTTTACAAAATAAATTTTAAGCCTCTTCTGGGATATAGCAGCATTTGCAAACATGATACATACAATCGTCACTAAAAATAAATACTATTGAAGTGTAACAAAAATAATTCCGTTAAAACACCTGAAGAAAAAAGCTAATTCACAAACTCAAAAGTAAAAACATGTAAGGCAAACTCCTGTTTACCTTAGTGTACAAATTTTGGTGAAAAGCGATGTTGTTATGCCTGTCTACATTCTTCAGCCTCCAAAGGTGATGTATATCGACAAAGAAAAAGAAAAGTATGAGAGAGATGCAAATCATAAGACCTTTAAACAACTTCAGTTGCTGCTTTTATGTCTTAAATTCTTGCATTTTAAAAGTTCAATTCTCCATAATTGCACGTGAATCTGGAAGTCTAAGTGGAGGCTAGGTGATCCCAGCCTTTTGCTTCTTGTGTAGTATCCAACAGTAATTAAAAAATAATATATATATATATTTATATATATATATATTTATATATATTAACAATTATAAGTCCTTCTCCGGAATGTTTTCATCCAGATGTTAATGGCAAGTCTGATTCAAGTGATGATATGCCTACCAAAAGCTTTGCATATATACACCACCACCTTCTACAATTCCTTGTTCTGTCCAGCTCAAAGAGATGTAAGAAATCATCACAAACCATCGTATTTTTTTCTAGAATTTGATTTGTCTTCTAGAAGTGAGGGATACGTCTCAGATCAACGTGTCTTTTAGCCTTTGCTCTGAGAAGACAAGAGAATGATAACCAGCTGTGCACAAAATGCACCATTGAGAATTTGTCATCTAACACCACAACATTTTTGGATTGCTTCTTACTGTTACTTTCATGCTGAGACAGTGGACAGCAGTAACAGCAGGGGACCTTAGACCCATATAAAATGTCATGCAGATAAATCAAAGAGGCTGATTGGTCAGGAAGGGAACTTGTTCAATTTGGAATGATCTCTGAAAGTGCTCTGCTATCCTAAATAATAGCAAGTACTGGTGGTGATGTCAGGAATCATTTTCAGTGATAAATCTAATATGACCGTGAAGCAGCAGAACAAAACAACAAGCTATTCCCGTCCACTTGCAGAATAAGAAAACTGGGGGAAATGTGGTCGTCTTTCGTTGTCCATGCAGTCCATACCATCTTCATCATCTGTGGAAGGGAAGTTTAAAGGTAGTCTCAGAAAAATGCTTTTCACACACAGTTTTAAAAAATAGTGTTTTACTTTGATGTAAGGTATTTTGCATATATTGAAATATAGCCATATATTGTAAGGGGGGGAATCCACTGTATTAATGGAGCTGTGTGTGCTGAACAGGGTCTTAGTATTGGAACCTACAAGAAGATTTGTGTCCTCTGGTTTAACAAATACAGAAACAATACAAGGAATCACTTCGCAGATTTCAAGTTTCTTTTTTCAAAGAATTTTTGTACCATTCATTCTAATAGCCGTTTGAGTTTTCCCATACTTGTGTTTATGTAGCTAAAAGCATAACAAACACCCAGGCACAAAAGAGAGTACAACAACATCTTCTGGGAAGGGAACATAAGGAGGGGAACCTACAAGAACCCCAGCAGAGCGACTGGGGGGGGGGGACTCAAAACTGGGAGACAGAACGGTGGCTGGAGAAGATAAAGAGATTTTTAAAAAGTAAAGAAAGGACCATCTCACTTTCTGAGTAAGTCACTTCCTTGTTCACTCTAAAAAGCTATTTTTAAATGTCCCAAGGGATGCGAGAGCTGCCCACAGAAATCTACTGAGAAAACTCAAGATTTCTCTGTTGAAGGCTAGTGTTTCAACCCCGCTCCTACCCTCCAACAAACCCAACACCACAGCAGCAAATGCTTAGTTCTTATTCAATGTGTTGTTGTTTTTTTAAAAAAAGCCTGCTGATACAAATTCCAAAGCGGTTTACTCTTCATATTGCAAGCTAGAAGGCGCTGCAGCTGGGAGACAGCTACTTATGACATCTCTGCAGTGTAATTCACTACAGGGCAGGCTTTCACAACACTGAAGGGGGATCAGAATCCTACTGCAGGCTGGGCTGAAGTTGGGAGAAAACAACAACCCTGCAGTGCTATCCACTCTTTATCTCAATGTTGTAGGTTGGGCTGCGAGAGTAGGACACAAAAATGCCGTCATATAGCTCACTCTTATAGCAAGTTGGAGGACTGTGCTGAGAGAAAAAGTACCGTAGCTCATGACAGCTATAGAATTTCTTGTTAATATTGCAGGTCGGAAGTGGGGTTCAGGTTGGATACCCAGTCAAAAATTCCCCATGCCTCTCAAGTTGCACCAAAGGTCAATCCAGTTAAATTTCTCCCAGGCCAAGTCAAGCAAACCAATTTTCCAGAAGCCTCGTGTTCCCCATGCACACTGGTTGTGCTTTTAAATATTCAAAAAGTAAACAAATATACATATTGCACATGAAGTGAGACAAAGTGACGCTTGTCTTAAATTATAGCTTTTGCTTCTTTCAAGCCCCTCAGCCGCAGGTTCAGGTTACATGCACAGACTCACAACAGGGATACGCTCCCAACATTTTGGGATGCCACTGAAATTCATAAAACAATTGACAGGAAAACTTAAAGAGAATATATTCTATTAAAGTTTCTGCAATATCCTATTATAAAGGTAAAGGCTATTTAAGCAAATGTTTTTTAATTAGACCTTTAAGCAGAATAAACTAAAGCATTATGTTTAACATACAACACAAATGTTGAGAGGTCCTATCAGTATAGTTCTGTAACATGCTAATAAAACAATGCCAAATGAATAACATGTATCAAACAGTTACTCATGTTAAATACGCTGTAGCACTGCTCATTCCATGGATATTTCTGAGAGTTTCCTCATTCATTTTTATTAGAGTTGGGATAGGAACCCAAGAAAAAAGTTTGAGGAGACAGAAAGTGAACTCAGGCTCTATCATGGAGTGCCAATGTGTCCTTAATCCTGAAGTGTGCATTCTTCCGTTACAAGAACATCATTTAGGAGAGACGCTGCAACCACACACCTGAAGGATGTGGTGCTGTTTCTTTGCTGGCAGAAAATGGGTACGTACTTTTGTAAACCAAAAAAACTTTAATAAAAACACATTTTTTAAAAAGAGAATGGGTAGGGTATGTAAATTTCGTTTTTCATAAAAAAAATTCTCTAAATCCACGGAGACCCTTAAAATGCTATAAACATTTCTGAGATACTTACATTTTTCAGGTGGTGTTATTGTAATAGTCTGAGCAGTAAACTCTTCATCAAAATATCTGGTGTCTGTCTCAGACGTCACTTGAGGTTTAAAAGGAGGGAGAAGCTGAAAGAACAGGGAAGAAAAAATGCATTAAGGAATACGAACACAATAAAGCTAAAAACAGGAGTATATAAAAGAGTACATGAAGCTCTTCTGGCCCAGTAGCTAGAACAAAGAGCTGGTACAACAATGATCCTGGATTGAAAGTCTACCTAAAAACCAGTTTGTGGCAAGCCATTAGGCCACAGTTTTTGCTATTCTAGGTCTTGAAACTGCAAAATGAAAAAGCTGCTGGTCTGCTTCATGTTTATTTTCCTTGTGGTTTGACTATTTTGTTGCCCACTGTCCTGATCAGAGCTGCTTCAAAGTTTGAGCATCCTCTTCCTACTCTGACAATGTCTATGAGCCACCAGTTCAATTTCCCAACCTGCCCTGGAGTTTCTGACATAGTATCACTCCAGGGCACGTCGGGAAAGTGGCAGCCCACAGACCCAGCTCGCTGGCACGAGGGACAGCACCCATCTTGTGAGAAGGAGAGAGCAAGGAAGCCAGGTGAAGGCAACATCAGGACCTGCTCCAATCAAACTGTCTCCTTCCCAGTTCTACAATAATAGACGCAATCTGCCTTGTGAGAAGGAAGAAGGGCAGGAAGTTCCTCAGTTAATTCTTATGATATAGTGTCAACACACATTCACAGAGACATTTCATTTTTTGCCTTCTGGACAACAGGAATGTGTGGCTGCTACGAGTATCTCCATGGGGGAACAGAAGATTGTCTGCAAAATATGGCAGCACTCATGAACACATGTTTAAATGACTAAGTGATTTAATTCTGTTAAATTAACTTTTTAGGACTTGGATATTGCTAGAATTCAGATGTTATGTCAAAATAATATACAATGTGTTGAAGCATTTTCATAGGGCGGGATTCAACAAATGAGTCGTGTCAGTGGAAGCCATATGCAAGGACTTCTGCTTGTGCAATGGGGCTTTCCCCCTTCTTCTCCCCCTGCACGCCCCCCTTAACTGGCTCGGGGGAGGGGTATTGGGAGAACATGGGGGGAGGAGAGGGGGATCATTTCGTTGGGCGAGCCAAAATGCTCACCCTGGTTGAACTCTTGCCTTAGCGCAATGTTGAATTCTTCCCATAGTAATATTGTTCCAATTAGTTGATTTGTAATTTATACCCATGATAAACATGCAACTATAAAGGCCAATACCACTTCTGATACCACAAAGAATTTCATTCAATGCAGAGGGAAAGTAAAATGTTACTCTACATCACCACAACCAAGTTTTTGAAACAAAAAACTGAAATATTCAATTGTATGTTAAAGAAAATAAGAATACTATGCATATTTGTACTATAGTCTTATTCTAAATACTAACAGAATTCTACAGTTACGCACAATTATTTACATTATATATTATTTACACTAATATATCTATTAGTGCTGTTCCACGCACACAATGGATTTTGATCCACTAACTTAAAAGAGGAAAGCAAGCCATCCCCACCCCCTGCCACTGCAGCCCCATACCCTCCCTGAAAATTGGTTCCAGGGTTTTGGGGGGCCCTCCTGAGCAGTGTGGAAAGTGGCATGGGTAGGTGCAGAGACGGGGGAATCACCTCCACGCCCTCTTACATTAGCAGAAATTCCTGGAACAACTGAATTTCATGCACTGTACCTTGTATGTTGCATCATTCATTACTACTAGTGGCAGCATTTTAAGACATGTCTGAAGTGCCCACCACAAGGTATCTCCCCCCCCCCCCCCGTGCTGCTTCTGTTGCATTTTACAAGCAAGAACTTTGTAATAAAATATAATGGATAGGTAGCTCAACCTATGACTCAAACAAACACGTTTAATCGCATCTTGAATAACAACTCACTGCATTTGCAAAAAAAGTTTATTATTATCAGAATATAAAATTCCTAGTTACACCCGTGTGACCACTGTATAAGAACATTCAATGTGTTTCAATTAACTGGGTAAAACTGTAATATTTTAAACATTTTAGTGGCAAACAATCTGCTTTTGACTTTCACTGTGTTTTGGTATGAATGCAACACTTAGCAGTACCAGCATTTTATTATTTGTACCCCGCCCATGTGACTGGGTTGCCCCGGCAACCCTGGGCGGCTTCCAGCATATACAATATAAAAAGAAAAGGTAGGTATATAGGGCAGCATTGGGAAGATCCCATAAAGATACAAAGTGCACTGGAGGAGCCAGATGCTAATGAGGTTTCTACAAAGTAAAAGCCTGAGAGAAAGCTGTAAAAAAAATTGAGATATGGAGACGTGATCCACCCCCTTCAAGCGCTGTTCTGTCCAACCCTTGGGGAAGGATGGAGGCCTTTAACTTCCCATAATCTACCCTCACTAGGTACACTGCAACATGCTCAGCCATATTATATAACAGAATGACCACACACATTTAAAATATGAGGATGCAGTGCCTCCACCGCTGACCAATATCACGTAAGTAACATGTGTGCAACACCCTCACTAATAGGAAGGAAGGATCATTCTACGAAAAGCTTTCACACAACCTTCCCATTTTACATAAACAGTGGCTAATCTTAATTATGATTTGTTGAAGCAAGCCAGCTTCCCTTTAAAGTTGGCTTGCTTTAAACAGACTGCAGAAGCCATTCCAGAGCAGGAAAAAGGGAAGGTGGGACCTTGGGAACCTGGTAGAAGGCTACACTCATTCCTGTTCTAATAAACCATGGTTTACTGTGATGTCCAAGCACAGCCATTATGTACATCAAGATTCATTTCTCAACTGTGCATAGCAGCTTATAACTCCATCTGTTTTTATTAATTACATTTTTCTATACTACTCTTCTTCATGGAGCTCAGGGGGAATAGTGAGCCTCACAACTAAATGGGGGTTTGAACCTCAATCTCCAAACAGAGAAAACACAGGAAGCTGGATTATCTAGCTCAGTATTGGCTAGACTAAAATAAGTCAAATTTACATACTGATGATTAGACTATACATAATATGCAATGGCCCTGATCCAACTATGCAAACACACAGCTGATGGGTTTATGCATGTGCAAAGTAAAAAAGGTAAAGGACCCCAGGACAGTTAAGTCCAGTCAAAAGTGACTATGGGGTGTGGCGCTCATCTCGCTTCAGGACGAGGGAGCTGGTGTTCATCCACAGACAGCTTTCCGGCTCATGTGGCCAGCATGACTAAAGTGCTTCTGGTGAAATGGAACACTGTGACAGAAGCCAGAGTGCATGGAAACACCATTTACCTTCCCGCCACAGTGGTACCTATTCATCAACTCAAAGTGCTAGGTTGGCAGAAGCTGGGAAAGAGCAATGGGAGCTCACTCTGTTGCGCAGATTCGAACTGCCAACCTTTCAATCAGCAAGCTCAAGAGGCTCAGTGGTTTAGACCACAGCGCCACCCACGTCCCACTTCTATGCACATGTAGTCTCTTTAAAAAGCAGTTTAGCAGAGAGAAGGTTGACTAAATCTAACTGTTCAACTGCATCTCTTCCTTCTCATAGCCATCATTACTCTTTTTAAAAGTAGCTCCATGCACTCAGCCATGGTAGCTGGATCAGGGAGATATAACATGTGCAACAATCATGTGCTTTCTCATCCAACTACACTGGAGCAAATGCATTTTATGTTCTCAAAGTAGCAAATAAAAGTTCAGATCTGATAAGTAAGTCAGTATTACATAACCTCAACCACATTTCCAGGATTAATTCCCAAAATAAAAAGCAACACCCTGCAATGCTTCAAAGTTCCTTAATACAGTCGTACCTTGGTTGTCGAACGCCCTGAAACTCAGATGTTTTGGCTCCCGAACGATCGAAACCCGGAAGTGACTGTTTTGAACGTTCTTTTGGAAGCCAAATGTCCGGTGGAGCTTCCTGCAGCCAATCAGAAGCAGCGATTTGGCAGTCAAACTTCCTCCTGGGCCGCTCTACCACTCTTTTAAATCAGAACCAGTGAAGACGGTGAAGGTCCTGTATGAGTGTCTGGAGGCGGTTGGAGGATGGTCAATTCTGTGTTCAGGGCAGCTGTTTATCAGCTCCATCTGGTATGCAGGCTGAGACCCTACCTGCCCGCCGACTGTCTCGCCGGAGTGGTGCATGCTCTAGTTATCTCTCGCTTGGACTACTGCAATGCGCTCTACGTGGGGCTACCTTTGAAGGTAACCCGGAAACTACAACTAATCCAGAATGCAGCAGCTAGACTGGTGACTGGGAGCAGCTGCCAAGACCACATAACACAGGTCTTGAAAGACCTACATTGGCTCCCAGTATGTTCCCAGGCACAATTCAAAGTGTTGGTGCTGACCTTTAAAGCCCTAAACGGCCTCAGTTCAGTATACCTAAAGGAGCATCTCCATCCCCATCGTTCTGCCCAGACGTCCAGCACCGAGGGCCTTCTCGTGGTTCCCTCAACAGTGAGAAGCCAAGTTACATGGAACCAGGCAGAGGGCCTTCTTGGTAATGGCATCCGCCCTGCGGAACGCCCTCCCACCAGATGTCAAAGAGAACAACAACTACCAGACTTTTAGAAGACATCTGAAGGCAGCCCTGTTTAGGGAAGCTTTTAATGTTTGACAGACTACTGAATTTTAATTTTTTGTTGGAAGCCGCCCAGAGTGGCTGGGGAAACCCAGTCAAATGGGCAGGGTATAAATAAATTATTACTATTGTTATTGTTATTTTTGTTGTTATTATTATTATTCCGTTCGACTTCCAAGGTACGACTGTTGTTCACATTTCCAGGGTACATAGGCGAAAAATATAATGGAGCAACACTAGAAGTGTAAGAACATAAACATAGTTAAACAGAACTATTATTGAAAAAGTATTGCATTCTGCATCCCAAACAGCTAAAATGAAAATCAGTTCATAGGCATGAGTGCCACAATATGTCAGGCACACATCCATTGAGTCAAGCAAAACATTTCTATTCCAACACACCATTCCTGCCTTAACTGCTGTCCCACTTTCATGAGACTTCCTGGTTTGGTAAATCAGATTTCCACGATGTCTACATCATTAAGCAGTCTCCATAAAATAGGTTTGTAAACCAGGATTCTGTTCTTCAAACTTTGGTTTGTTAAGGATCACTTAAACCAGGAAAACCTTGCAAGGGAAAGAGAAGAGGGAGTGCTCCAGCAAGCCCACAATAGACACTGGATCATAAATGTTACAATGGAACTGATCCACTGTGTTGATTGCAAAGGGTACTCAGAACATGAAAAAATCTATCCAATATTTGACAGCAAGCCATGGCTTATTAATCTTCGGTCCAAGCCATAGTCCTACTAAAGATGTTGCTACAATTTTTCACGTTTAACTCAAATCTTATTTGATTCGGACGCCCAGACGCTTGCCTAGGAGAGTTGTGCAGATCCACCTGTAGACTTCTAACGTAGCAGGGATAGTGCGATGCTGATTGCGCCTGCACAAGGGCGCTATACGTGGAGCTGCCAACATGCCTGCCGCATCAGGACCACCAAGCAAATCCAGGCCACAGTCTCATCAAAGCCACTGTGGCTTGGTCACTTTCATTTGAACTTGGATTAAGTTCGCTTTCAAGCATACTCAGAGGAAAAGTAGTGCAAAAGCTCTCCCACTCTATTGCTGCAGTTATACGACAGTTCCCTTCTAATTCCTCTTGCGTATTATGCACATTGAAATCTAGACCTTTAGTCAAGTTTAAGCCCTACTAGTCAACATAGTTCATTCCTAACATCCCATATGACACTGGAGGTGAAACAATCCACAGATATGGCCATTGTTGCCCTCCCTCCCTACCCAGTGAACTGACATGTTTTAGTTGAGACTTTACTAACTTCACTGCTTAGTAAGTTGCACGTTTGTGTGTCATGAAGAAAACAGCACAAAAGGCACAAGCAGATACCACAGAGCTTGAGTCAGGTCTCAGAGTTCTGTTTTTACTGAGCCCTCCATGCCATACCCCACACTGTTCTAGAAGGTTCCCCCAACCCTCAGAAGCAGTTTGGCAAGGGGCTACGGCAGGTAAGGGAGATCGGTAAAAATTGACAGCCCCACTTACACAAACAGAAGTGTTCTCTACCAGCATAAAGCAACCGTCAGACAAAAGTATAAGCATGTTAACATTATCAGCAATATTCATTATTGAGAAGACTGCCTGTTCTGGACAGAATGGCATTTCCCCTAAAGGAGAAAGTTTGTAGCTTGGAGCTGCTCTTATAGTCATCATTGTCTCCTTAGGCCAGGCGTCCCCACACTCGGCCCTCCAGCTGTTTTGGGATGACAATTCCCATCATCCCTGACCACTGGTCCTGTTAGCTAGGGATGGTGGGAGTTGTAGTCCCAAAACAGCTGGAGGGCCGAGTTTGGGGATGCCTGCCTTAGGCCCAGGCAGCTGGTTTACCAGCTACAACTTCTGCTCTGCCAAGATACTACATGCTCTGGTAACCAATGCCCTCTACAGGGAACTGCCCTTGAAGATGATCTAGAAGTTGGATCTACTGCAGAATGTGGCGGCCAAGTTACTGACCAGTGCCATAAAGTGGATTCATATAACAGCTATAATTAAGGATTGGCACTGACTGCCTGTTTGCTACAGGGCCAAATTTAAGATGCTGTGTCTCTAAAGCTCTATATGGCCTACGACACAAGTATCAGAAGGACTGCTTCCCTTCTTACCTGCCATCCCATTAAGATTTGTGGGAGAGGCCCTGCTCACAGTTCCGTGAGCATCCATAGCTTGTTATGTGACAATGTGGAACACAACCTTCTCAAACTCTCTCTCCATCAAGATCAATCCCTACATTGTTGTGCATTAGATTAAGATGCATTTATTTCCCCAAGTTTATAGATATGGCTGATGTAAAAGATAGACTGCTGTGGGACTGTCTAGATTTCTGATTTCTTGGTAGGTTGTTTCACTCCGAGACCTATTTTATACTGTAGGTTTTATTGTTCTTGTGTATTATTAATATGTTGTTATGGGGGCTCTTGGGTTAAAAGGCCTAATACAAATTTAATAAATGAAAATGTAATCTCAGTGAAATAATCCTGAGAAAAAAACAGCAAATACCAAAATTTAAAAAAACCTATAGACTCCTGTCAGTTTCAAAACTAAGTTATAAAAGCATTCCTTGCATAAATCTAAATGGTATTTTTGACCCTCAAAATATGCCATAGTAATTTACTAGCAGAAAATATAAAAACCCCAACTTAGTTTAATGCTGCAAAACCTATTAAAAGTTATGTGAATGCAAGTCTCAAGAAACAAAATGAGACTTACTTCTGACTACATATGGGATTGGGCTCTTACATTAAGCACTTTTAAAATAATGTCTAAAGAGTGACCCAAGACTGTTCGTAGATCACAAAATTTTACTTCCATTTCCACCATTCCAGCTATCACAATGCTTCTCCTTCCTCACAAACTCCTGGCATAACTTATTATCCTCTGCCCCCCTCCTGAAGTACCTTGGTTGTCTGTGCTGCTGGTTCCGTCTCATAGATCTTTTGCTCCCAGTGTACAGTAGGGTAAGGGAGCAACACAAGCACTTTCCAATTGCACTCCTGGGATATTTATACTCTGAGTCTAATGTTATTTATTGATAAAAATAACTGTACACATTACATCCTACAAAATATTCCTTTGGTAACAGAAGTTTATGGAAACTGTCAAAACAAATCACCCAATTTTAGAGGGAAACCCTCTAAAAAACATTACCAGCTTCTGAAGAACTCTTGTCAAGAAATGAGGAACCAGCACATGGAACTTCAACACCACCTCCAGAAGAAAATAAGAGAAATGCAGTAAGAAACCCCTTCCTAACAATATTCCTTCTATAGTGGCATCATGAAAAATATAATAAAAAATATATGTTAAGGAAGTGATGAACAGCTAGAGTTAGAGTTGGGTAAGGACACAATGCCTGATGTTTAACTTTTTTTAAAAAATGAATAAACAGATGCTCTTCCTTTGTTTCTAGATTCTCTAATGAGAACTGTAACAACTGCACCTCAAAAAAAGTTGCTAGAAAATCTAGGAAGTGCTCTAAAACTGTGCAAAAAACACCCACTATAGGTTATGTGTAGAGAACAATTTTACACAAATAGCATTGGAGATGACTTAGTTCCTACAGCAACAACTCACACTTGTCAGTGTCAATTTTTCATGCGGATGCTGAAACAGATAGACTGTAAACTGCAAATCTTTCAGGATTTCAGGACTTTTGGGGTGCCATGTGGCAAACATAATCACGGCTAGGATCCAGAGAAGAGCAAGCAAAGTTCTGCTTGCACAATGGGACATTATTTCAAGTGCAGTGCGTTGTGCAAAGACCACTCCTAAGGCCAAAGGGACACTTCAGGGTGGTGTGGAATGTGGTACAGGGCTACAGGTAGAGGAACTGTGAAAACAGGAGTTCCTTTGATCCATGCTTACTATTTTACAGTAAATGAATTGGTTGAGAAACCTACCCTTGATCTAAAGCAACTGCTGTCTGCATCTACTGCACTATAAGGACACAACACTGTCTTAATAGCCCTTTTCTGGGCTTTATGGATTAAAACCTGAAACAGTAGTGGTCAGTGTGACAGGGCAGTGCTGGCCTTGTGGCAGTAGTGTCACTTACCAAGATGAGGTGGGATGGGACAAGGTGGTAGCAAGACTGGGGTGGCACAGGTGCACAACGGAGCCAATCTGGTGCTTCCGTTGCCCTGGCCTTGGCATTATCTTGCCCCTGCACTAGGACAACAGCAGCGACACCACTAACAGGAAGCCAGCTCCATGGCATTGCCATGCCAGCTGACCCTGCCCTAAAGTATACTGAATAGGAAGCTATGGTTGGCTCTTCAGCACTCCTGGTGACCCGTCTGTTAAGCCATTAAGCTAGCATCTGCAACCAACCTAGCACCGCTTCAAGTTCCAAATTGCCTTCAGGAATAGAGTGTGCTGGAAAAGTATGAACAATGGTTGCCATGTCTAAGTATGGAAATGGTCATTAGCCTACTCACCAAATGTAGTTAAAGGAAAGCATTACTGGCCATGTCACAGCGATGGCCAGAAAATCTATGTGCAGCAACAGATTCAGAAGCATCACAAGACTGCAACCTAAGTGAGCAGAAGAAGCTGAAACACCATTAATTACTTGTGTCCTCAAGCCTCCTAGATCAAACAGCTTTCTATCAATAATTATTTGAGTTGGGTTCTCCCCCCACCCCCATGGATTCAGCTTCAGTTGGTTCATCTGCAACCACACCCCAATCACAGACAGACACTATGGAAGCATGGAAGCTTTGTGATAGACACACCATCCTGTCCTCTTTATCTATCAGTAAAGAGAACAAACATAGCTTTCTCTATACTAACACATTGAGCAGGCGACACCCACTTTCATCCCAGATTCTGGTATAGGAAAAGAAAAGAGCTGAACTACATGGAATCAAAATGAGGGAACAACCAAAAGCAAAGAAAAAAACAAAACAAACAAAAAACCCTATCAGTTTAAAATAGTAGTGCCCACAGCACCATTACTGAAACCACAGCAGGGGATGTACGCAATCCAGACTAATAATTTTTCTTAGCTTGAATGTGTTGCATACAGACTGGACTAATAATGCAATTACCACTAAAGCCTTTTGGATATAGTCAGCTGTAACTTAAATCTAAATATATCTTTACTATTTGAATCCGTGCTATATTTAATAATAAATACTAAAATAATATTTTATATATGTGACCCCAAAATATGATGTACAGTGGTATTTCAGTTTAAGAACAGTCCTGTTTAAGAACAATTCAGTTTACAAACTCCGCAAAACTGGAAAGTGTTCCGGTTTGAGAACTTTATCTTGGTATAAGAACAGAATCCTAACAGTGGAAGGGCACTGGCGGTGGGAGGCCTCATTTGGGAAAGCACGCCTCAGTTTAAGAACGGTTTTGGTTTAAGAACGGACTTCCGGAATGGATTAAGTTCGTAAACCGAGGTGCCACTGTACTTAGATCACAGAAAGGTTCATCAAGTTCAGTGTCATGCATACAGGTTGTATTCAACATTAGTCATATTCCAAGTAGACCTGCTGAAATTAAAAGGACATTAGGTCCATTAATTTCAGTAGATCTAGTCTGAGTAGAATTTAGCTGAACACAACCTTAATAGTTTAAGGAGCTCAGATAGCTCATGTGCAAGTACCTAAGGTGGAGGAAACAGTTCTGGGCACCACAGTTCAAGAAGGACACTGACAAACTGGAACGTGTCCAGAGGAGGGCAACCAAAATGGTCAAAGGCCTGGAAACGATGCCTTATGAGGAACGGCTAAGGGAGCTGGGCATGTTTAGCCTGGAGAAGAGGAGGTTAAGGGGTGATATGATAGCCATGTTCAAATATACAAAAGGATGTCATATAGAGGAGGGAGAAAGGTTGTTTTCTGCTGCTCCAGAGAAGCGGACACGGAGCAATGGATCCAAACTACAAGAAAGAAGATTCCACCTAAACATTAGGAAGAACTTCCTGACAGTAAGAGCTGTTCGACAGTGGAATTTGCTGCCAAGGAGTGTGGTGGAGTCTCCTTCTTTGGAGGTCTTTAAGCAGAGGCTTGACAACCATATGTCAGGAGTGCTCTGATGGTGTTTCCTGCTTGGCAGGGGGTTGGACTCGATGGCCCTTGTGGTCTATTCCAACTCTATGATTCTATTCTATGATTCTAGAATCTGAGAAAATGTGTGTCAACCACTCTCACTTTTTAATTAAATGTGAGCAGCTACAAGCTCTAAAACTGAAATAGAAACAAGGTTTATGAGCTGGGATGAGGATTATGGAAATTACAGACTGCCATCACCACCAAATTTTGACAATGCCCCACCACCACACACACCACTGGCATTCGCCCCCATAAGGCTGTCTCTGAGAGAATGTGACCCTTGGAATGAAAGCTTTCCCACCCCTAAATTAAATACATTTGCCACATCCTAGAAAAAGGCTAACGTAATTTCAGCAAACAGCTTAACATCTATGATAATAATGTGTAAACCAGAACCAAACAACAAATAAAATGTGAATTTTCAAGAATTCATGATACCAAATCAAACATTTTATTATTTTAACGGGGATTACTAAGATTTCTTCACAACCTGTGTCAGTCCAGAATCAAATGCTCTGGCCTCATTTGCACAAGCTGCCTCTGCCCAGTTTAGCCCATCTTCTCTCCCCAAGCAGCACCGCTTGTTCTACCCCACACCATTCTGAAGAGTCCCTCAACCTTCATAAACAACCTTTAGGGGATGCAGGGAGCTGTGGCGCAAAATAAGTGGGGAAGTCCCCTTCCACTCATGGTTCTTGGGTTCCAACCCATTGAGGTTTTCTGAATAATTCCTCACCTGCTGGCTCTTGCTACATGTTCCATGAGTCTCTTAGTGCAGATTGAGTTACTCTGCCAGAAATTTACACCAATGCACCGCACTATGTGGTTACATTCAATCAGGGTTGGGAAGCCTTTCCTGGCCAGTGGAGGACCAAATCTGACAAATAGGTGCTATCAGTGATGCTGACCTAACCCAACTGTCGGGGCTTCAAACTGCAGCATGGTGCTGTTTCAGAGACCATTTGCAAAGAGCCCAGCAGTGAGGGCTCTTTGCAAAAGGGCTTTCAAACATCCCCACACCTATTTTGGCTACGTGTGCCTGTTACTAGCAGAGTAACAGGCAAGTGCAGCCAAACTGAGCTAGAATGAACCCCTCACTTACTAATGGACAAGTGGAAGGTTCAATCCTGCTGGCTGCAAGGGCCTACTTCACCAGGGCATTCCCCATGGAGTTGAACCCACAGCACTGACTCCCCAGTAGGACTGAACCTTCCACTACTTGCTGATGAGTAAAGGGTTCAAACTTGCCAGCTGCAGGAGTTTGCTTTGCCAGCACATTCCCTACCGCTAATGCACAGACTCCAGCAGGACTGAACCCTGTCCTCCTAACAATTTGATGGACAGGGAAACGACCTCGCAAGCCAACTTGGACCCTTGGTGGGCCAGGATCAACTTGACCAGTGGTTCCCCTTGCTTGCATTAAACGATATAAAAGAAATAATAATTTTTTTAAAAAGGAATCTACTAAATAAACTACAAATTTGACTCACTTTATTATTCTTTCATTTGGGCCTCGGTCAAAACAGTATTTAGTATGTATTTAATTGCATTTAATTTTTGGAAAAGTTCAGCACTTGTGGTTGGGGAAAAGGTTACATGAACAAATCAGTCTGATACAAAGATTGACCTAAAACGCCATTTTTCACCTTAAGAGAGGGGGTTGCCAAGGCAGAATAAGACAAGAAAAAATCCTCCAAGGCTCAAACATGAATTGAAGGTTCTAGAGAAGGGATGTTTGCCTGAGAGGCTAAAGAATATTTAAAACCCTTTAAGAATCTAGAATCAATTTCATAGAAATACATTTTTGAAATAAAAATAATTTGTCAAGTCATGATGAATTACACTAGCATGCCCTTCAAAGGTAATGAGGCAAGATGCAGCACAACAGCATAAAAAGTATATTTCTGTAATACAAATATCCTAGCCTATTTCCTTTTTGACCATCACACATATATTTAAAACATACCACAGTTATCATTTGCAAAAGAGAAACAAGTAAAAAATGTATTACATTTGTACAAAGAGATGCTGCCTAATAGTTCTTTTGTGATGATTTGAACAGAAAGCAAGCAAAAATAATTGTTACGTTCAAAAATATATTTTTATGACAGAACAAAGTTTTTAGGGGATGGGGTAATTTATATTTAGCAAGAATGGTCTCAACCTAATTGGGGGAGGGAGAAAGACACTGACATTTCATAATTAGGAATGGATTAATAGCCATACAATTTCTGACTGAGAATACCCAACCCAAATTAATGCAGATGTGTAGCTCCTCTTAGATATCCCCAATTTGTAGCTTTGTGGGGAAAACTAAATTCACCCCCTGGTCCCTATTCTGGATAGCTAGTAGTTTGGGCTGTAGATTGGCACACACAGAAGTGACTTGAAAACAGAATTCCACATCCACTTCTAGCTGTCATAGGGTGCTTCTAGGTTTCTGACATTTCCAAGTCATATTAAGTTCAGTAGTAAAGAAATGCACATACTTAAAGATCCCACTGAAACCAATGGGACTTAAAAGCGCTGAATTTTGGCCTGTGGTTTCACTAGTTTATGGAACTATAAAAATTGCTGTTTTCCAAATGTTTACCTTTTTTAAAAAATATAACTGAAATCTAGATGTGCAATATCTTAAGCATTCAGTGCCATCCTACACAAACCTACCTTTTTATCATATACATCTTGCCAGTTCACTCCAGCAAAGAAACTGTGTCGCATAATTTCTTTAGCATCATCTGGTCCTCCACCAAGACTATTTGGGAAAGTATAAATTACATATGTCTTATTAGCAAAAAACAAAGCAAAGCAGGATGCTCTTTTTACCTACAAAGTTTAGTTTCACCAAAAATTAAAACCATTCTATGAACAGCACAACATTTGACAAATATGTTACTTACCTGTTTGATGTGTATTCATGTTGGAGGTTAATGGATTCATTTTTTCAAAATTAAGAATGCACACATCTAGTATTAATACCCTCAAGAGCAAGGCTTGGAGTTCATGTATTCCCACCCACACTAGCTACAACCTGCAATTCAGTTGAGCAGGTCTGGGAATGCAGGGAGTGCTCATGTGGAGAGATTTTTTAAAAAATAATTTCTATTGCAAATATGTATTTCACACAAGACAAGTGATACACAAGATGCATGAAGTACTTGCATTTCCTGTTCTGTTTTGAGTCATCACATCACCTAAGATGTTCTAAAATTAAAAAGCAGTTTTGCATATGGGGTGTACTATAAATAGGCCTCAAGACTCTCGAACTACAAAGACTTCTAGTAACCTGAGCACAGATTTTGAAACACAGCAGATAAAGACCTTTCCCATCCCCTACAGTACATCTACATCTGATGTACATTTCTATTTTATTTTATTTTATTGCCTGCCATGCCTTGGAATTCATCCCAAATGTGACACTTCCATGTTGAATTTCAATGCCTGCTTTCACCTCTCAAAATAAGTTTGCTTCTGTTACTGTTTAGGTTCTCATCTCCCTGCTTGCTTTAAAAGATAACGTTGCCATTAATCAACATCTTTGTCACGCTCCTTCCACCTTCTCTCCTTTAGCATAATTAGGCTATCTTACTTACCATTGTAAACATTAGGCCACGGGTAGGGGATCACCTTATAAACAAACTAAAACAAGTCCACCTTTGGCTTGATTTTGAACTGGTGGTAGAGGGCAACTAGCTTGTTCATCACACCACTCAAGAGCTCCACATCATTTAATTCAAGTATTTCTAAGTAATACTTGTGTTATGGCATTTTTAGTAATTTACTGAAACCACTGGGAAGATGTATTTGAAAGACAGGATGAAAATCTAAATGTGTATTAATAATTCTGACACAGCATGTTCTTTCCAAGCCTCCACCTCTATGGAACATTAATCAGGAATGTGATTTCGGAAGATTATGAGCCCTAAGACATATTTTAGCCAGCCCTCGAGGTTGCTTCTGCACTACCCACTTAATCCCGAGTTATCATCAAGCTGGTCAGCGGAGAACAGAGCATACAAGCAAAGGTTAACTCTTCCTGGAGGCAGAGTCAAAAGGTGCCTTTAAAAAGGAAACTTCCTGTGGTCCGCTGGAATGGGAGGTAACCTTTCCTCAACTTCAAGTTCATGACAATCCCCAACCGGTGAGTGACCCCTCTGAGGAACCTCTTTGACCTTAGATTGTTTTCTCACACAGCAGTGGTCTACCAGGGGGAAGGCACTGCCTAGGACCACTGCCTATCTCCTGAGGGCGTCTGGAGCCAGGCCTTGTTCTTGGTCTGTCTTAAGAAAATCAAGGATGACACCAGTGCCTGAAGAATGAACAAAATGCACAAAAATCCCTAGAAGGGCCTGCTACTCTAGGGGCAATATTTGACCTGAAAACATTCAACCCTTCCCTCAATCAATACTTATTGTGGTCAAAGACCAGACAGCAACATTCAACCCTTTAAGCAACATATACAGAATGCTGTGCAGAAAAGAATTTGCACAAGGATTCTGGCAGACCCCAGAACTAGTCATCTATGTGTGCTATGTGTGCTACAAACCCTTTATGTATTTTAGGATGAAAATGCCTACTTGTGCTTAATTGGCATTCTGTCAGACTTACCGTTTATTTGGATCTTTTATCAGGAGACCTGAAAGTAGTGATTTTGCATCGGATGACAATGTTCGGGGAAATTTTATATCCTCCATTAGTATTAGTTCAAAAAGTTTTTCATGATCTTGGTTGTAGAATGGCAACCTGCCACACATCATTTCATACATAACAACTCCAAGGCCCCACCAATCCACTGCACGGCCATAGTCATTGTCTTCCAAAACCTAAAACAGGAACAGGAAGGTACTGAAATTTACACTAGTCATTACTTTAAAGGGCGTGTGTCCATTTTATAGTGTAGGTAGCCTGACCACTATTAAACTTTTTTTTATTATTATTTCATGTCGTATTTCATGACTCCATCCTTTTTAAACCAGGTGTAGTACTTGTAAAGTAAGGGAGTCTCCCTCACTTTCATCACCCTCTGCTTCCACTATGAGAAGACAGGTGTGGCTGCCACCAGGTCAAGGGGGCTCCCCTCACATCCTCTTCCAGATGCCTGTCTTTGAACAATGCAAACTAATCATGCTACAGGGCATGAATAATTTGCATCGTGCACAGTTGGAAGGCTGGGTGGGGATGTGGGAAGAACTTAAATACTTCCTTTGTAATAAACATGCACCAGTAAAATAACTTTGGAAGCAAGGAGCACTGGAATTCATCCATATGCAAGGACTGAAGCTACACTAGACCCAGTCAAGCCCCCCAACTGCTAAGTAGATGAGGTAATGTGAAAATTCAGTAGAAGCACATGTGGAGAGCCAGCGCTAGCCTCCTGGCACTGGTGTTGCTATAGCTTACCTGGATAGTGCCGGGAAAGGGCAGAACTAGGTAAGTGGTTTGCAGATGCGCCAGCACTTTCCAGTTAAGCTGTAGAAATGCCAGTGTCAGAAGGGTGGCTCTGTTCCACCCACCAGCTGCTACAATGCAAATATCTTAAGCTTAGGTGTATGTCAAGTATTTACAAAAATGCTTTACTTAAATTAAAACAAAATATTGGGGCTTTTAACCTTTTTCAATATTGTATTAGGAAAATATGATACTTGCTTGTTACTGAAGCATGGAACAAGTTATCTTGACTCTTAAGCACAGTAAAAAGCAATACAACTACCCCCCTTTTTTTCTGCAACTAAATTTTATTACTCTAATGTTCTCATTCCACAGATGTTTACTCTAGTAAGTTTTACAGTACTGACTTCAATGGGACTTACTTCCAAGAACATGTGCGTCATTTTTTTTATTCATTATAAAATATACAAAAATACGCTACAATACAATCATCATAATAAGACATTTTAAAAGGATTATTGTAAAATAATTTTGTCATATACGATCAAGGTTTCATCCCGAGTTCTTGTTTTGTTATCTGTAACTTGGCAATCAAATAAATTTTTATTTTTACACTATTACAGAAGTGCATTTTTCTAGGTTTCCAAAGCCACCTTATTCAACCTTCCCCATCTGTCACCATCTGCTTCTTTTTAGCATGCACTTTTTGTGTGATCACATAAGCATGTGAAAAATAAGTAACATTCAGATGATTATCCACTCGTACATTTGAGGACTGGGCATAATAAAAGTCAACTGCCAAAAATGTACTTAGCACTTAATTTTGTTGGGTCTTGCATGTGAGCTACATTGGATTTTTTAAACTGTTTTACAATTGGAGGATTGAACAGGTATTGCTAACTCAACAGAAAAGCTGGAAGCTCAAATAATTAGTTTAGCTTCTGATTGTGTTGCCTTTTACAGATGGATTTTCATAATGTATTTGCAATTTTTTAAAAATTTTGTTGGTAAGGTCTTATGATAGATGTAAACTGTTTAAAAGATTTTTTCTAAAATTAAATAAGTAAATGAACAGAATAATAGTTTCCTATTTTTCTCAAAGAACATAAGCATTGAAACATTTCTCTAATTAAACAGGAAAATTAAAATATACTGTATTCTGAGGCATTCCTTGAAGGATGGGTGTTAAAGAACTAAAGAACTGAACAACTAAATTGACAGGTTTAATTGGGTTCTAATACTGACAACTGTGCAAGAACTCTTGTTTGCTATCTACCTAGTACTTTTTGTGTTTTTATGAGGCTTCCAGTGATCTGTCATCTGAGGGACTTACAAATTCTACACCTGTTTAGCTTCAGTAACAGTGAAGCATCAGACATTCCAGACAGGGTGCACATCACACCCTGCAGGATGGGCATATAAAGGAAGAACAGTTACAATGCAGAAGTTGTGCAACATTTCTACAAGAGGTTCCTGTTTAGAAACTGTTGAGTTTGCATATTACTGTTACTTGTACAGTAGCTACCAAGAGAACCAACTTTCACACACTTGCAGCCTATATTTGCCATAAAAGTGAGATCAGAGCTTTCCCAACTTTTCATGTTGGTGACACACTTTTTAGACATGTATCATTTCACAAAACAGTAATTCAGTTTTACTAACAAACCGGAGGTTAAACCAACCCCTTTCCAGTGACACACCTACACATCACAGCTGACACACTAATGTGTCGCGACACACAGTTTGGAAAGCTCTGGGTTAGAGCCCAACAAATGGGGATGCTAAGGTTCTGGGTCAGGTACAGACCCTATACAGCATGATACAAGTGAAGTGAAGTACATAGATAATGTACAAAATAAACCAGTTGCTTTATCTAAACATAGATCTAAATGCAACCAAATATTAGACCACTTAGGATCTTGATTTCAATTGTTATTACAATAAAAGGACCCAGTTATCTACTGCTTCAACTGAAAGAAAGACAGGACTCAACTATCACCTAGAAGCTTCCTTATCACACTAAATAGGACTAGGGTGTTTTCTGGCACATGGCTCAGTTCACTGATATAAATGGAAACAACAACTGTCCTATTAGTACCACACGAAGGCAAAACAGCTATGCCAGTTGGTATATGATTCTACTGTATCTCCATCATCACAGGAAGCTGTTACAATGGTTGCATCATCCTTTGATAGATGCAAACTGAGCTGGTCTTTGTCATGCTAAGTCAAACCAGGGTTTAGTGGGAATGTGTGGCTGCTGGAGAGCAGATTGCAGTTGCTTTGCTCCGCAAAAGTCTTTGCACTCTTAACTGGAAAAGGGGGCATTCTAAACCTTCTTGACTCTGAGAAATAAAACCCACTCTTAAAGTTGGTGAAGATATTAACTTAGATAAGCTTCACTTACAATTAAATGTACATAGGAATCGATCTATAGAAAGGAAAATATTTTAATAGTTCTGCTGTAAAAATTACTAGCTTGAAAATAAGTATTTGTAACAAAATAAAAAAATTCCTTCCAGTAGCACCTTAGAGACCAACTAAGTTTGTTATTGGTATGAGCTTTCGGGTGCATGCACACTTCTTCAGATACACAGATACACATAAATATTTGTGCTAATGTTTAAACAACATTTAAACATCCTCATGATAAAAGGCTATAAAAAGTATTAGCCCTTGTAACAATATTTTCCAGTTTTCAAATATACCAATTACTATTGACAAGTACGTTGTAATTAAGTGAAATATTACATATTTAAAATGTACAAAGTAAAATGCTGACATACCTCTGGAGCCAAGTACTCTGGGGTGCCACAGAACGTTTTCATAGTAGCTGCATCTGTGATCCCTTCTTTGCAAAGTCCAAAATCTGTAATTTTTATGTGTCCATCTTTATCCAACATTAGATTCTCTAACTGTATATTACAAATAACACAAAATTGGTTTTTCAACATTTAAAGGGAAATCACTGTTTAACAAACAACCAACAAAATACACCCAGCAACTTTGTAGTCATTGTTATAATTTTTACTATTATTAAGAGCCAAACCAGATGAGGCACTGGAAATTAGTGATCAATTCTCCAACGTTTCAAAGTTCTATTATAAGCATTTGCTGGGTCCCCAGTTTTAATCGGAGCCCACAGTGCTGGGTCAATAATGTTTAACTCTTTGCCCCTGTAACATTTTCTTAATCCTATTCCCACACATACACAATACTATTTGCCAAAGAGTCAAATAATAGTTTCCGGTGGCAAATTAGATGCTTCCCACAGCTACTATAAAGGGAGGGGGAAATAGAAACAGCAGGAAATTTGATCACAGATCCTTTGTGTCTTGTCTAGTTTGGCCCCATAGTTTGATCTTGTAAGTGTCATTTTCAGCATCACAGGATGATTGCCATTCTGATGATAGTATTTTTGTAATATAATAATTTATATTCCTAGTTCAGATAACCAGATCTAAACTCACTTTGCATACTATTTGCAGTTGTAATTAGAGAATCAAATATGAAATGAGCTCTAGAAGCAAAGGGGGGAGAGAGAGAGACACTGAAAGTAGTGGCCTATGAACTTTTCATTCCATCAAGGGTGATCAGCAGGACCTTGTGAACCACTTCATTTGCTGCAAGGCAAAAGTGAGACAACACAGTTAAATTTAATGCCAGCTGCTCGTTTTGGTGGGCCAAATTGTAAGACAACTGCTGCTTGCTTGCCTGTTTGCAATTCCTCAAGAGCACTCCACAAGCATTCAGAGACATCAGCGTAAGCCTGGATGGGAGTGTGAATATGCGAAGACCACACGTGATACATATAACTCTTATATGTATCAACTGTTTACTTTGCCATGTACAGATAAAAAAAAATATTCCTATTTGCTCCTCTATACAGCTATTTATAAGTAGCTCTCATTGAACTCAAAATGACCTACTTCTGAGTAGAAATGCACTATATGATGTTTATCTATGCTGATCTGGCAATCTGATCCAATTTGCCCATTACAGTGATAGAAAATACGGACAAAATATATTGTGTCACTTAGCCAAATAATAGTATTCTGAACTGTGCAGAAATCATATATAATTATGGAAGGATATGTGATCACATCATGCTAGTAGCATAAAACGAAATCTATAAACCTGCTAGATTCTAGAACAGGAATGGGGAACTGGATCTGGCCAGCAGATCAGACTCTTATCTGCCTCACCCCTGGCAGGCCAAGCTTTTCAGGTGGGTGCAGTCATCCACCTGCCGATCCCCCAATGTCACCAAGTGATCTCCCAGCACCAAGGACTCTTCAGAAGCCCCTTTTAAAGCACTATGTTGCCCAGGACATTGCCCAGGGATTTGCAGGCACCACCAATGAGCTGTTCCTGCAAACCCCCTTTTGGCTGAGCCAGGTTTTTTGACATCATATATTACATTATTATTAAAACAAAATTATATACTGTTTAACTACAATAGTCTCTAGACAATGTACAGCAGATGTTGGGAAAGTGGGTATGGTTTGGCATGTCAGAGATGACATTGTGGGCCAAATGGGGAAGCCGGATGGGCCTAATTAGGCCCACAGGGTGGAGGCTTCCTACCTCTTGCCTGTTCTAGAAAACAGACGTTTGCTTACTGTGTGACCTTTTGCTCCCAGTGGAAAATGGAAGGCAGTCCTATTCCTTGGAATGGTTCCTCCTTCTGGATCCAGAATCCTCAACCACCAGGCCAACTGGCAGAGTGAGAAAGACCCTCTACCTGCTATGAAACACCCCACTATAGGATAAACATCAACTGTAAACAATGGGAGTCAAAAGGCATCAATTCTGTAATGCTCAGCAAAAGTGTAGAGAGACACCCATATAGTCACCCTACATATCTCTGAGATAGAGAACTGGGCGCAAGCCATCAAAATGAATTTCAATAGGAACAAATGTAAGGTTCTGCACTTAGGCAGCAAGAACCAGATGCACAAATATAGGATGGGGGACAGCTAGCTTACTAGCAGTACATGTGAAAAGGATCTAGAGGTCTTGGTGGACCACCAGCTTAACATGAGTCAACAGTGTGATGCAGCAGCAAAAAAAAGGCAAATGCTATTCTAGGTTGCATCAACAGAAGTACAGTGTCTAGATCAAGGGAAGTAATAGTACCGCTCTATTCTGCCTTGTTCAGACCAAACCTGGAATAGTGTGTCCAATTCTGGGTGCCAAAATTTAAGGATGTCGACAAGATGGAACATATGCAGAGGAGGGCAACTAGGATGATCAAGGGTCTAGAAGCCAAGCCTTATGAGAAGCGCTTGAAGGAGCTGGGTATGTTTAGCCTGGAAAAGAGGAGACTGAGAGGAGATATGATAGCAATCTTCAAATATCTAAAGGGCTGTCACATGAAAGATGGAGCAAGCTTGTTTTCTCCTGCTCTGGAAGGTAGGACTTGAACCAATGGCTTCAAGTTACAAGAAAGGACATTCCAATTAAACATCAGGAAAAACTTTCTGACAGTAAGAGCTGTTTGACAGTGGAACGGTCTCCCTTGGGAGGTTGTGAACTCTCCTTCCTTGGAGATCTTTAAACAGAGGTTGGATGGCAATCTGTTATGGATGCTTTAGCTGAGTTCCTACACTGCAGGGGGTTGGACCCTTGGAGTCCCTTCAAACTCTACAATTCTGTGCCCTGATAGAGAATGTGCTGACATAGAGAATGAGCTGCTACCTCCTTCTCCAGGTGATTTCCCCACAGCCCAATATGAGTGGACAGTAGCCTCTTTCATTCAATAGGAAATGGTGAATGTGGTCACCCGGTTACCCAATGAACCCCCACTAAACATCACAAAGAGAGCTCGTACACATGGCTGTGCTCTGAATGCAATGCTCCACTCACGGCTGTGGAGCTCTCAAATTGATACCATCCATGTGATGGGAGAGGGGATTGCTTGGTGCAGCTGGAGCTTTGGACACCATTGCAGGCCTTCTGCTGCATGAAGGTCAGCTGCCCTTCCACTGCTTTAAGAAAAGGTATGCTAAAGCACTAAGAAGGACCCATCACTGCTCCATGCCCCCACATGCCTTCCTGGCAGCTGCTCTGTAATCATTTCTGCAAGGGGGCACTGAAGCACCAAGTGACAAAGCAGCCACCTTTCCTCTTTCCAAAAGCTTTGTCCCCCACCACCCTCCTACAGCCATTCCGCACCAAACATGAGTAAGGGGTGTGTGGGTGGTACCCCCACACTACCTACAGCTAGTTGCTTCCTGCTGGCTAGGGCTTCTAGGTGGGTAGAAGGGAAACAGGGGAGAGGGGAGCAGCAGGGAAGGAGGGAATTGGAGTTTAGGAACCAAAAAAAGAGAGAGGCTGGAGGTAGGAAGAAGGGGTACAAGAAAGAAAGAAAGAAAGAAAGAAAGAAAGAAAGAAAGAAAGAAAGAATCCCCAATATTACTAGGTCCTTAAGGACACAGCCAATCAAAGCAACAGGCAGGACCAATCTGGTGAATTGGGTGGCCTATTCCCCTGGGTGAGAAGGAAATAAGATTCTGGATCCTGCTTGCCACAGCAAGAAAGAGGGACCATCCCAAGGAACAGGACTGCCCTCCATGTACCAGTGAGAAAATTAACTTATTCCTTATTCCTTCAATCTCACATGAAACCTACCAAAACCTTTCACAGGCTGTTTTAAAAAGGCATAAAAATAAAATGGAAACTAGAGCACAGACTACCAGATTCACATTCTTACAAAACATCCTACAAAACAGGAAGAGGGACGATGGTATATGACATTCTCCAAACACCAGTTGTGATGATGAACCTCTTCCTGGTACACTCATATCACTCAGGGTAAGTACTTGAAAGATGCACAGTCCTTATAACTAAGATTGTGTTATAAATTTAAAGGAAAAAATCAAGTCTGATTATATGAAATAACTATATTCATTGTGATGCAAAACTCTTTGCTGTATTATGAACAGTAGGGGAGAAATGAGATCTGCCAATTAACGAGATTACAGATGTCATTGCTCTTGCCAATCTGTGAATAAGGATTCTTGTGATGCTCTGCCAAACAAGATCTACTATACTACAATATTTGGAAATGAATATTAGCATAGAAGGATGGGCAAACTCATAGAAGAATTTCATGGAAGTATCAGCACACCCAAACTAGAGTTCCAGATTTTCAGATACTTCCTTCTGTGAGTTCAGAAATCCACCTAATCTTAGCAGTGGCAGACTGTAGTGCCAACATGGATCAGTAATATTGTTACCCCTTGCCAAAACTTGAGATTTGGAGCATATCTGTAGTGGTTTGGAGTTACTCGTGCGTAAACCGACCCCGTTTGGGTGCTTGGTTGCCTGGTTAAATCCTTCGGACTGCACAGCCCATCTCCGCTTGACTGCCTCAGTCACTGGCAGAATCTGTCTGTGGGCGTTTCTTAAACCTCTGCCAGCATAAAAGCTGTTTGACACCTAATCGTCTCCGGCTCTCATTGCGCGGGAGTCTCCTGCGCAGGGTGGGCGTGGGTAGCGGAGTGCCTGGGCTCTCTTCACTGACTTCCAGGGAAGAATCCCGGAGCCCTTCCACCTCCTCTTCCCCTTGCTCTCCTGGACTCTTGGTGTAACGCGTATTTCCTTCCCCTTCCACTGAGCTGAGTCTCCCCCTTGTGCTAGGACCTTCACCTGCAGAGTCTGAGACCCTCTCCTTCTCCCGTGTCTCTGATGTCAGTTCCCTGACAATATCTAATATACATATAGTTTACCTACTGGAAGCACTTCAGCAAGACCCTATGAAGTCAGTACCCCCTTGGTCTACAGATGCTGGTCACATCCACACCATATATTTTAAGCATATGGCTTCCCCCAAAGAATCCTGGAAACTGTAGTTTGTTAAGAGTGCTTGGAATTGTAGCTCTATGAGGGGTAGAATACAGTTCGCAGGATCCTTTGGAGAAAGTTAAGTGCTTTAAATGTATGGTGTGGATGTCACTCTTGTGTTACTCTCCTTTGGCTCAGTGATTCTACTCATCACTACCCCATTGGAGTGAAAGTTTGTTGGAGAAGACTGGGGCCCTTTAAATGAAGAGCCTCCTCTCAGTGAAGACAGAACCAGTTTCTGAAACAGAGCTCCAGTTCCTATATAACAGGCAACATCTAAGCTTAGCCCTCTTGCACTACTCAGCCTAAGTCCTGCATAGAATTGCCCTTATGTTGCTTCTTCTCTGCTAAGTTCAGTGCCTGCATGAAAATACTTCAGCGAGAATCTGGTCTATTGAGCCCCTTCTCCTCAGTTTCTGCCAACGCACAGGAGAACACTCTCAAAGTGGTGCACCAGTGTAGTTTGACACACCAGCCAGGATTGCTCATATCTTGGGTCTAGGATCAAATAGCTGTTGGTGGGACCACTCTAATATGGGAACTTACTGGCATATGTTTGGGGCTGTCATTTTGATTCTGGTTTCTGGGATCAAGGGTTGAGGAACATTACATCCATAATTGGTAAACAGGCAACTAAAGACCCAGTTACACCCTACTGTTCAATTCTTTAATTATATTCCTCCTACTCACAAGACTACCTATCTATAACCGAAGGCTGAAGGATGCATTGAATATTACACTGGACATGTGGAATAAAAAAAACTGTATATTGTTTTCTCGGAGAAGCTAACTCACGAACATAAGGCACCAAGGGTTCTGCTGCACTACAAGATTTTGTGGCTGTATGGGGGCCTTTTTTACTTATATGAACATTCACATGATGAATCACCTCATTCCAGCCAAGTACACAACATACATATTCATCTTCATTCACATAACAAGGACCAACCTTCCATATCAATTGCTTAAATAAATAACAGAATACAGATATTATAGATTGAAATTGGGCATTGGGTATTTTGCTGAACTTCAATCTACAGTGCACTTTTTTTCCTCGGCTAGTTACTTTTCTCAAAACAGTGTAACTTTATAATTACTTTGTGTTTGTCCCAATAGTCTTTTCAAAAACAACATTTTGATTACTTCTCTTTTTTTACCTTGAGATCACGGTACACAATCTTTCCAGAATGCAGATAGTCCAAAGCAGAAACAATTTCTGCACCATAGAAGCGTGTGCGATCCTCAGAGAACACCCGCTCTCTCGACAAATGGAAAAACAGCTGCAGGGTAAACAGCAGGGACAGGATTGCAATAATTACTGATTTAGTGGGGGAAATTAACAGAAACATAAAACACCTCTCATCACCATATTGTGATGATAGATAGTGTACTCTCAGTGGACACTCAGCACTCTTAGACAGCAGCTGGCTTATCTTTTCCAGGTTTCCAAGGGGAAAAAACGAGCTGTTAAATCAGCATTTTAATCAATATACCAATCTTGTTTAAGGCATTCTGCTTGCTACCCATTTAACCTTCAGTTACCAGAGGAAAAAAGTGCATCATCATCATTCTCTAATTTTTTTTCTTCCCCTGTCCCCTCCCTCCATTTTTATTTTTATTTTTTAGCAATGAAGTCATTGGGACTGTTTACTATTCATACACACAACTGCAAGGTACTACAGTACAGAGCTTTCCAAACTGTGTGTCATGACATGTTAGTGTTTTGGCTGCAGTGTGTAGGTGCATCACACAAATTTAACCTCCAGTTTGCTAGTAAAACTGAATTACTATGTCACAAAATGATGCATGTTCAAAAAGTGTGTCACCAACTTGAAAAGTCTGGAAAGCTCTGCTATGGTATATTGCAGGTACAGTAAATTATTTCTTAAGCATGGCTATATAAAAGTTCCCAGGAACACTCAGAAACTATTTTCATCAGACTAATCACGTGAAGTTAAAATTTTCTTTCAGACAATGCAATTCCAGTATAGCATTGTATCTGCACCAACACTAGCCCTAGTTTACAATACCTAGGGTTAGCAAAACCAACCTCACTATATTCTATTGTAGAGCATTGAAGGGAGTGATGGGTATGGAAGTAAGAGCCAGACACTGAAGACTGAAACTTGCAAGTTTCCTCCAGATGAAATTTCACGTTCTGACAGTTGATTCCTGTCTGCAAGTAGACTATTTCTAGTACAAACAACTAACAATCACTCTCCTCACACAGAGACAAAATATTTACTTTAAGAGAAACATCTACGCCTAAAGTGGTGGCAAAACTGTCTGACAAAGTTGAGGTAAATCAAAAGTAAAGTATGAAAAGAAGCAAAGTGATGTTTTATTATTTCCAAAAGCAATCTTCAGAAGCTCAATATTTTTTTAGACTTGGCCAATGAGATGCAAGAAAGAAAAGTTTGTAACAACTTTTTTTTTTTTTTTTTTGCCATTTAGCAATAATTCAAGACACTATTTATTTATGAAAAACTCTGGCATAAGGAGAAGTGCACTTGGCCAGGGAGGGGCCTGGATCCCCACTTTAAACTTCTAATGAACTAAGAGCACAAGAAGAGCCCTGCTGAATCACACCAAAGGTTCACCTAGCATTCTGTTCTTGTGGTGGCCTATGAGAAGACAATAAACAGGACACTGAACAGAAACATGATCTCCAGCAACTGACATTCAGAGGTATACTGCCTCTGATACTGGATATAAAACAGCCATCATGCCTAGCAGCTAAAACTAATGTTTTCGTAGTTTTAACAAAGGAATACACGAACAAAGAAAAAAATGAAGATCTGTAATTCAAGGGTGTGTGTGGATCAGAACAGCACCACAAACCACACTGTCTGACTTACCTCTCCTCCATTGACGTATTCCATCACAAAACACAAACGGTCCTTTGTCTGGAATGAGTATTTTAAAGACTTAAAGAAAAAACAAACAAAAAATGCAGTTATGAATAGCTTTCATAACATTTAGTTGCATCTTTTTTATTTAATTAATGTGCAGCACAACTGGATACCTTTCTGCTAAGAAGTAAGCCACACTGTGATCAAGGACTTATTCCAACTAAGATGTTCAACGATGTCAGTGGAATGAACTTTCACAAGCACAATGGGACTTGCTGTTCCTCCCCCCCCCCAAAGTCTCCCCATGTACTCCAGAGTGTTGGAGGGCTCTCTGAAGCAAATTGTGGTGGGGACTGCAGCGGGGGAGGGGAAAGGCATGCCTGCTTATATGGTGGTGGGTATCTACCTCAATAAGCATAGGACTGGAGAAATAAGGTGCATAAAAGCATAATTTCTTTTGGCAAGAAAGAGTATTCAACTGAAAGCAAGTTTAATCAGTATGCAAACCAATTAAATCCTCAAGCTCTATACCACATGCTGACAAATACAGTGGTGCCCCGCAAGATGAATGCCTCGCAAGACGAAAAACCCACAAGACGAAAGGGTTTTCCGTCGCGGAGGCGCTTCGCAAGACGAAGTTCCCTATGGGCTTGCTTCGCAAGACAAAAACGTCTTGCGAGTCTCGCCATTTCCCCCCCGCTTCCCCCCCCTTATTCAAAGCCGCTAAGCCGTTAATAGCCTTTTAACAGCTTAGCTGCTAAGCCGCTAATAGCGCTAAATCGCTAATAGCGCTAATCCGCTTAGCCACTAATGGGGTTGCTTCGCAAGACGAAAAAACCGCTAGACGAAGAGAATCATGGAACGGATTCTTTTCGTCTTGCGAGGCACCACTGTACCTATATATGATGTGAGCAGTTATGACTGCAAATCCAAGAATTGGGACAATATATATTTTTAATGGTCATAGAATTAATGAAAGATTCCAAACATTTGCATCTGAATATCAATATCTAACCAAGTCTGTATATTTATTCTTTTATTTTGATACATTTATATTCTGCTTTTCTTTTATTTCTATCAAAAGAGGCTACAATCAGGTTAAAAATAATAAAACAAACACATGTCCCATCTCACTCCACAAATCTATTAAAACAATCTTACAGTTAAAACTACCACCACAACAGGTTCAAAAGCAGCATTCATCCAATACAACATCCACTGAAACTCAAAGATCTATTGAAAACAGATGGGTGTTTTCCTAAACACTAATCCTAAAACACCAGAAGTGACCAAGTGGGAAGAGTTCCACAAATTAGAAGCCACTACAGAAGCATGGTGGGGGTTTTTTTGTAACATGAAAATTTCTCAAGTACAAAGACAGTATTTATAGTTTTTGCACCACAAACTTCCTTACAGCTTAGGATAAGTTAGATGAATGAGTTGGGAACAAAGGAAAAAAAGGAGCACAACTGATTACCCTTTGAAGCATTTAAAGAATGATGGGGGAAATGTAATTTGTACATTCTAAATCCTATCTCCTAATTTATAGTTCTTGTGACTACTGCAATATTAATGTATTATAAGATCAAACAGAAGCAACCCAAACATATATCAGGATGTAAAGGAAGGTCCCATTACTGCTTCTATTTCCTTTTTAAATAAACATGTCACAGTTTATGAAGTTGATAAGAGCTGATGTCCTCCATCTGTTTAGTCCAGCACCATCATGTGGACATTAACACCGGTAATTGGCAAATCTTCAAAACATAGCTGGTGATGCAAATACTTCAAGACCAAAAATGTCTTGGGTCCTGGCAATGGATGGGTTTACCAAAGGAACTGACATCAACATGGCAAATCATCAGGCTCCAGAGTACTTTCTGGCTGCATTTATCAGGGTTCTGTATATGTCCTGTTTACATAGATCTTTTAGAATACTGGCTGGCATTAACTGGTGGCTATTATTTGTTACTTAGAGAAAGACTTTCTAGATAGAACAGAGTCACTACCTATACAAGCCTGGAAATTCTTCAGAACGGAATTAATTTTTAAATGATATGAATATTTTAACAGTTTCTATATTTACCAATACTGAAGATAAACTTGTGAAAAATTAGGTAGTGAAAACACCAGCTAGCACTGAAAAGAGGAATTCATCTGACACAAATATGAGAAACATCATCTTTGAAAAAACTCCTCTCTCATACTGTAAGTACAAGAGGCTGACAAACCTGGTGGACAGTAAAACAGAAAGATGGGTCTGAATATATCACCTCCTTCTACCCCTAAGAATCAAAACAAAAGTCAAATAGGAAGTTGGCAGAGAAGACAAGGTTCTGTTCTACAATATTTACTCGTTCCTCCCAGTGGTATGAAGACTGATTTCAAATCTGACATAAGATGAACTGCAACACAAATGTTGCTTTCGCTGTCTCTGAAACAGCAAGTTTAAGAGATGAACCATGTTCCAATATCTCATGCAAAAGTCAAACATGACCCCAAAGAAGGGATTGAAACAGTACTATACTGATGACAGGAACCTGTAACTTTTCCCTCTCATATAGCTTTATACTTAAAATCATAATTTATACTCACCGTCAAAAAAGGATGTCTAGTGTTTTTCAGTACTCTGCTTTCTGTAAGTGTGTGAGCCACTTCATCCTAAAGGGTAAAAAAAATGTAATTGTAGTAATGAATATTTGAAACAAATATATTTGTACAACTACAATACTTAAGTGCCCACAGTATCTTTGCAAGGTATGAGGATGGGGGGGAAACCAGAACAGCGAAGGCCACACAACTTTTTTCCTATTAGAAGACACAACTGTGACAATAGGAATGCTTTTAAGTTTAGTTAGGTGCTAAGTATTTGTCCTCAATATCTATGCAACTTCTCTAACCCTCAAGGCACCCCCACCCAGATATGGAGTCCATCAGCCACCATCACTTCTTAAGCACAACAGCTTCTGCAAATCACTTAAGTGTACCCACAATTTTAAGCTTTTCAGGGTCCTTCATATGCTAACTAATGGTTTGGTCACTCCTAAAAAACTAAAAAACATGGATGCAGCATCATGTAGGCAACCTGGACTGGTGAAAATTGCTGCAAACTATTAACAAATCATGACTGCTTCAACCACTTGTTAATTTGTTCTAAGTAATTCTACTGCTATGTCAGCAGGCAGACAACTTTCAAGATTTGTCTTATAGATAAGGTCTATACAAACAAGATTTGTAGCAGAGGAAGGAAAAAAACTGAGTAAAAACTGAGTAAAGTCAGAAATCAAACACAACAGGAAAGTGAAAGAGGAATAGGAGGGAACTGGAAAACACCAGAAAAATAATGAATATTTGAAAGTAGAAGAACTTAGCTGAAAGGAAGATCAGTGAGAGCCAGGAGAAAACGATCGGATCTGTCAGGCAGGAGAGAAAAAACTGAGGGCACTGCTCCTGCCACCCTGAGTTCTTTGCCTCCATCCCACAAAGAGTGAGGTTACCCAACCCACTTGGGTCATCACCAACAGTCTCAAATTAAGCTATTTTCAGCACATAGGTATATTTATAAGTAATAGTGTATTAAATATAGAAGTGTACCTTTGCAATAATAACTTCCTTTTTCAAAATCTTCATAGCATAATATTTTCCACTTGCCTTCTCTCGAACCAGAATAACTTTGCCAAACGTGCCTTTGCCAAGTAGTTTTAAGTAATCAAAATCATTCATTGTCTGTATGGAGCACAAGACTAGGAATTAATAGGATTTACACCTTGCAGACGTTGTATTCATTAAAATGCTACTGTCCTGCCATGAAACACCACAGTTACCAAGAAAAAGGCACAAGTGTATAGATCACATGGATGAAGTTCCAAACAGAAAAAACCCTCTGTTGTAAGGTCACATTTTTAGCTCCCTTGTTTGTTTCAAGAACGACCGATATGTATGGACAGTTGTTTGCACCCGGGAGATGTGCCCATGTATAAAATGTCAGTGATCCTATATTCCATAAGTGACTATACATTACGCATAAGAATAATTATTAGCTTTGACTGATTGTTGTTGATGCCAGTTTAAAAATGATTATGAGCTGCAGAGGAGCCAAGGGACGCAGAAATACGACAGCTCACTAAGCTTTCTTTAACACCATAATGCTGCTGGCTCTGAAGCTCCACATGGGCAGATTTTCTGAATGTACATGGTCTGCTGATCATATACCATGCCAGTCACAGACTGCAGCATAATGCCAACAATCAACTTGTTTATTTTGAGTACAGAGTTTGCAAATTGTTTGTTTTATCTGTTATAAGAGAACAAAAATAAAATTTTAGCAATCTAAACAAGGCCTTAGAAAAGCAAAACATCAGTACACAAACCTTGTCTGCTATAAGAAGTTTCACAACAGAAAGAGGGATTTTATTATGGAATAATCTCATTGAAGAAAAAGCTTCAAAAAAAGGAAGGGGGACAGCTTTGGCAACTAAGGATTGATTAAAATATGTCTCCCTGTTGGTGGCTAGGCGGGAAAGAGAACAGTGTTACTGAATCTTTAATATCTGTAATGAAGAGGGAATTTCAGCAAGTTGTAGCTTGTCGTGAGCTCAAATCACATTTTCTACAAAACCAAGTTGTAGGAGCCTGTCCTTTTTTGCACCTGACCATCTTGGGTGGAACTTGGGACATTTTAGTTATAGGTTGGGCATAAATGATAGCATTCCAAATATTTGAAAGTTAACTATTGTTTGGAACCTTAGTAACTGGAATGCCAGGTGTAACAAACTCCTTTGATCTGCTATAGTGCAACAGTGCCACCTAGAGTGTCAGGAATTTTGTATGCCTACAAAGAACCCTAAACAGACAGCTATCCACTATTTTGTTTCCGAATGTATATCCTCAAGTTTAATCGACTTTTTTTTGTTTAAAGAGAAATATCTCACTAAAACACACATTAAGAACGCATAGTAGTTAAAGCTACCCCTTGTATTCTATGAATGCTTCATAAGGTTTTGTTAAGTTCTGTCCCTGTGGGCTTTTGGAAAGTAAATCCAAAGTTCATCTCTTTGTTTATTTTTCCTGCAGCTAAAGAGCTCTCATCAGTAGGGCTCAGAAATTTTCCAAGCAGCTGAACAGCCTAGGGCAAAGGAACCCAAGATGGTGCCCTACAGAAGTTATTGGACTGCAACTTCTATCATCATTTATCACTACCATGTAATTGATTTCTCAATAACATGGGTCTCACTAAGCTATACTCAGGGTGAAAGGTAAAGGTACCCCTGACCATTAGGTCCAGTTGCAGATGATTCTGGGGTTGCGCGCTCATCTCGCGCTATAGGCTGAGGGAGCTGGCTTTTTTCCCACAGACAGCTTCTGGGTCATGTGGCCAGCATGACTAAGCTGCTTCTGGTGAACCAGAGCAGCGCACGGAAACGCTGTTTACCTTCCCGCCGGAGCGGTACCTATTTATCTACTTGCACTTTTGAACTGCTTGGTGGGCAGGAGCTGGGACGGAACAACGGGAGCTCACCCTGTCGCGGGAATTTGATCCACCAACTTTCTGATCGGCAAGCCCTAGGCTCAGTGGTTTAGACCACAGTGCCACCCACGTCCATACTCAGGGCAGACCCACTAAAATCAATGGACTTAAGTTAGTAATAATGCCCACTGAAATACAGCACCATGTCCACATGGCTCCATTGTACCAAAATTATAATGCAGATGCAAACACAACAGAACCAACAGCTGTTGGTGGACTCACACATGGTTCAGGGGTGGCTTGTCTCTCTGCTCCAACGCCACAAGCATGGCAGAACCACCTGATCTCCTATGCACTATTTGATGCCACAATAGGCAAAAGAATGGGGGGGGGATTCTTGATACTTAAAAACGCGTTTGAAAGGAAAAGCTTGAAGTAAAATCAGATTAATGATGATAAAACAATTTTTTATTTAACTTAAATAAATACTTTGTTTCCTGTACAGATTTATTCCTTGGAACAGAGCACTTGTCTTTCTTTGTTTCATAATCTGATTATGTTCTTCACATAAGAGTACCATCTGCTACAAAAATCACTGGTCTTAGACATAGAAATGTGTTACAAAACCAATGTATAACATTAATTATGTACAACAATCAATGATATTAAGATATTAAAATGGATGGGAGAATAGATGTTCAATCCTGGTATCCAACAAAATATGGGCACATTTAAGGGGGTATGCTCAATGTAGGAGAGGCTGAGTCAGTGCAAACAGGAACTGAACAGTTAACAGTCTTGCAGAATTGTGGGGTATTGAGGGGATATTTATCAACACCTTTTGCAAGTGCCATAGAAGGTACTGGTGGGCACACCACACTGGAAACCCCTAAATATACTATGATATAGTATTAACAACTAAAATCATTTTAGTCAAGTTGTCCAGCGTATCAATTAATAATAATAATAAAAGTGTTACCAGTAAATGTTTGCTTTCATGTTATCCTGTGAATTGCCCTGAGACCTGTGGGTATAGGGCGGTATATAAATTTAATAAATAAGAAATAATAATAAAGGGGCTTGGGAGGTTAAAAAGTCAAGGAAAATACAAGCAATATTATTCTTTAATATAATACAGACCTGAATTAACTCTGAATAATTCCTCATCTTGACAGATACAATCAGCCCCTTCCTTACTATCATTTAGGATGGCACTAAAATGTTTTTATTCATTACTGATTTTAGTAAAGGTGCCTAAGAGGCAGAAGCCTCTATTTTTATTAGGATAACTGGCTGATGGAAATAAATTAAAATATTTGAAAGGTTTCACCACTGCTATTATTACTAGCACATAGTAATATAGCATATAGTAATATGGTTTTAAATTGTTTTTACATAGTATAAGCTGAATGGGAAGATATTTTGAATGGTGACATAAATTCATATGATTTTAAAAATTTCTTTGTTGTCTACTATTAATACCTGCTGAATATTAAGACAACCTACATGAAAGGTTTTGTGTTAGTAACACCTGAAACAGTATTTATTCGTCTTAAAAGAAGTATATTTGACACTGATTACATTCTGGCTTCTGAAAATTGTTTTCCATCTGCAGTTTGTATTGTTTGGCAAGTTTTCAGCTAGCTGTCACATTTCAACATCTGTAGCAAAACATTTCATATCAGCTCTAAATATAATATTGCACTTGTGGTATGATACAATTTACGAACACCCCACAGTCAAGACCCTACAGTTACCACAAAGTCCAAAATATGCCAAGTGTAATCTATGGAAATGATCCACAAATGGTACAGTGCTGCACTGATGAGACTGTCCTTAGCAAGGCAGCTGTGCCCAAGATAGCTCAGGGATGCATGGCCACGTGACCATTGCCAAACAGCTAAGAGCTCTCAACTAGCCAGGAAACCATGGGCTTGTGGCCTTTTGTGGGGAAACACTGCAACTGATTACACCAGTCTTGGAGGCTGCTTGGTCACTGGGTTGGAAGGTAAGGGTCAATCCACTGAAATGGCAATCCTTTTCAGAATCAATACAATATATTTTAACAGTACAGTTCTCTGTTTGAAGAAGGAATAATTTACGCAAAGATAGCGTATTTTTAGTTGCCAGGCATACAGATCTTTAAATTTATTTTAACAGTTACAATAACAAGAATGACAATATCATGAACAAAGCATCATTTGTCATTGTGTCTGATATGGAATGGCAATTTAGAAGGAGTTAAGCACAATGCTGCCATTAGAATTTCTGGAATTTGAGCTTTCCAAATTTATTATAATAAAATTCACAAAATTACTGGAGAACTGAGCTCACCATAAATTACAAGCTGAAATATGCCAATGCAGTAAGATCACACTTTTAAAATGTAGGAAGGAATCTCCAATTACCTTCCTTTTATGGTGGGTTGTGGAAGCATCCATCTCCTCCTCTCCTATATTATCAATCTGTGAGGTTGGACTACAGTTCATTCTTTCTTCTTCCTGCCTCTGAAGCCTGTCTGCTACTGCTTGGATGGCTTCTGTCCATTCTTCCCTATCAAAAATAAGTCAGTTTTATTAATAAATACATTTCATAAAAATACGACTAAAAGGGACATGAGGGAATACATACATAAACTGTGTAAAATATAGAAAAAATGGAGGGCAATCAAATCACCTACTGCATTTGCCTTTCCTGTATACATTGCACCCTGTGCTCAGGTATTTCCTTTTGTGCTGACTTTCCAAAGGCAGATTTCCCATGATCAGAAAGCTGTGCCCATGAGAGAGCTACATGCTTAACAGCAGATGTAAGGAATCAACTGGACCAAATACCACATATTCAAAAATCTACAGCAAAAGACTATTTCATAAGAATTGAATGGTATTGCAAATGTCTGTGTATCCTGTCCAATCTTTTAAGCTATGTTGGAGCTTTGTGCTCAGGACAAATGATCTACAATAACCTTTAAAGGCATGCTCTTTACCCAAAAGCTTTTTTGAATTTTAAAAAAAACAGACCTGCAATATCCTGATACTATATAGTTTATATAAAAATTATTAGTATTGATTAAATTTCTATACTGCCCCTCATCTGAAGATCACAGTGTGGTTTACAATATAAAATCACAGAAACACATACCATAACAACAACAAAAATAATACACTCAAAAACATCTTTATTCCCTCCTCCTTAAGATACCCCTGCTCAGTAGCTGGTAGAGAGGGGTGGGATCAATGCTTCCTCCCCACTCTGGGCATAGAGCATTGGATAAGTTTTCATAGGCACATGTCAGACCCTCCCACAGCACTCCTGCTGAGGAAATCACTGGCTGATACTGTAAGGTAGTAGCATACTACAAAAAACATAGGTTTTTCATGCTTTGTCAAGCTGGGTCAGCTATTTCCTAGTGAAATCACCCTGTTTCATGCTTGGACAGGCAACTATATTCACTTAACAGAGGAAGTAGAATAACCAGGAGAATCAGTATTTGCTCTAAGTAGTACAGGGACCTTGGAAAGTGTGTCAATTAATTGATGGTACTGGAATTTTTCTTCTGACTAATATTTAGAATCAAGTATAAGAACAATTAGAATACATTAAATTTATGAGTGCACCGATAAAGTCAGGATAAAGTTAAATGTAGAGAATAATGAAAGGAAACACAAATCAATATGCCATTTAGCAACCAGTGGTTACCAGAACCCAATTGACAATGCAAAATACAGCAGAACTCAACATTAATGAATTACAATACATTATTACAATAAATTGCAAACTTGCAATCAACATCAACTACTATATCTTCCTGTATGTTGATACTTTATACTTATAGGGTAAAACACACCTTTTTAATTAAATAAAACTATGTATTAATAATACACAAGACTGAAATATTATAAAGCCAACTAAAATGTTATAAAAACATTAAAGATGCTATCTGTGAATTAGAAATATTTTGTGTATACTTATTCACATCTTTTGAAAGAAATGCACACAAAGTCTGAAAGTGTCACACAAAACTAGAAGTTGCAGCAAATCTTTTCCTTATAGAAGTTTGCCTATATAACGAGAAACACTTTCATTCATTTCTTACCGTTCTTCTGGAGTATCTACGTGAAATGTCCTTTCTATCACAGTGGTCCATTGAAGACATCGGATAATAAATGTGTTTGGTTTTGGTCTCTCTGTTTTCATTAGCTGGCATTCTGGGGAGGGGGGGTGGAGAAACATTTTTAAGATGCTGCTTTTTATAATATGGGGATATGAACTAGTTTGGGGATATGGGGATATGTTCCAAGTACATATACTTTTTATATCAATCCAACACATTATTACACATTAGTACTTAAGGCTGCATTACTAGAATTAATGATGCAAGGAGGGAGCTGCAGCCCATGCTAGGAAAAGAGGTAGTAGGGGAACTTCAAATTAATTCAAATCTACAGGGCCTGGTGAGCTGCAGCCAAGGGATGTAATCTCTTGCAGATGTAATCTCATAGCCTCTGACTATAAACATATTGGAAAACAAGGTGAGGTCCCTGCTAGGTTGGTTGTAGTGAAACAACTCTAATGATGCCGGTGATTTCAGAGCTCAATTCAAAATGCTACTCTTAACCTTTTTTAATAATAATAATAATAATAATAATAATAATTTATTATTTATACCCCGCCCATCTGGCTGAGTTTCCCCAGCCACTCTGGGCGGGTCCCAATCAGTGTTAAAACAGTACAGCGTTACCTTTGAAATTCAACATGGCTTAGGACCCAGATATCTGTTGCACTTCCTTCTTCAATCTGCTCATCCATTTAGATCACCCCAAGTCTTTCTCTGCATGTCCCTACAGCGTGGAAGGTAGCAACTGGATAGTCTTTTCTGTGGTGGCTTGTCACCTTTGGAATGCCCTTTCCAAGGATGCCCACCTAGAGATCTCATTACTGTCATTTATGTACCAGACAAAAACATTTGTGTTGTTCCAGGCTTCTAAGCACTGCTATCATAAGCATTATTTAACTTAGAACAGTTTGAGTTTATCAGCTGTTGCTGTTTTAATTTGCTGTATTAGTTTGATTTTACCAGCTGTTGCTGTTTTAATTTGCTGTATTAGTTTGAGTTTACCAGCTGTTGCTGTTTTAATTTGCTGCATTAGTTCGTATGCATTGTTTTGTTTTTTAAAAAATGTACATTTTGTTTCTCACTACTCTGTTAGCCACCCATGGAGCATAACTCTATGTTGAAGGTGACATGTATCAAATAAAGAAATAAAGCCACTCAGTTACTTTGTATTGATCTATGGATAAATAGAATGATCAAATTTTCACATACATGCATGTTAAAACTCATCATCTTAAGCCCTTCTCCTGATGTCCCCTATCAGAGAGCTTTGGAGAGTGGCAACAAGGGAAAGGGCACTTTTCAGTAGGGGCCCTTCATCTATGGGATGCTCTTCCCAGCAAGAGCTGTATTGCACTGACATTAGCATACTTTCACCACCAAGTTAAGATGTATCTCTTCTCCCAAGCTTTTGATTATGATAATCATGCTTAATAATGTTTGAACCTGAACTCTTAGCATCCAAAGCATGGGGCTCCATCTTTGAGCTGGATGTCTTCCCCTTAAATAAACAAAGCTATGAAGGACTATTATAATATTCTTTATTAATAAATGAAAACTGTATGGACCTATAGAAAAAGAATGTTGGAAAATAATGAAATGTACAAAATGTATTAATCTGGCGATCGGTACTGGCTCAGAATGTTCAAGCCATTGCTGGGTCACTACCAAGTGAACACTGCAATCATCTCCTCTTCAAGTTTGCTGCTATACATAAACAAATGTAATTAAAAAGATGAATCTCAATTAAAAAACAGTTGGAACTCTAGAGTATCACTGAAAAAGATGAGCAAGCCAATAAAAACAGGAAGGCCCAGCATGATAGTTATCTACAACCAAGAAATATGGATCATTATTTTACAGCTTTCATTCTAAGTATTATTCAAGACCATTGCAGTCATAAGAGTTTTAAGAATTTAATAACTGGAGTGATCAAACACTGTCACAATAATAAATAGGAATATGATGTTAGCAAAATATTCCAAGTGTGAAAAAGTTTCCCCTTTTTCTGTTCCATGGCCAGGATGGTGAACATTATTTTAAAGGTTTTCTTAACTACTGGGATCATTTCTATAACATGAAACAACTGTAACATTAAACCATAATTTAGCACCAAAAAAATGAGGTTTATGCTTGTGTGCTCCCATCTTGCTATGGCATATCTCCACCCACACTTTAGAACTAAAAACACAAGTTTGAGCCTGGTCTGGCTAAATTATACTTTAAAATATCCAGAGTTTCCTAAATTTGGACCCAAAAAGGACAGTTTAAAAGCAAAAGCTTCTAATCTATTGTGACCATGCCAAAGGAGGAGAGGCTCATGCATGTAGCACTAAACCATGGTTTAGAATTATGTGTAAAAATGCCAGTGATTTTCCTTACCACATCCCTAAAATGTCTGGCACACTCAAAAATATTGTAATATAGCAACTATTGGCTTGAAACAAAAACTGCACTAGTCTCTAAATGACACGGTTATGTTAAACTCTCCTGAACAGCTCTTAACTACAAGCTGTATATCAAAACATTTTGTTTATCTTACACCATTCTGAACCACAGATGACAAAGTTTGCTTGAAGCTGTAATTACTCTGTAAAGCTGGGAAGCCAATTAGACGGCCTAAAACCTGCCAGTTCCAAAAAAAAGCTACCAAAAAAACATATCATCTGTTCAGAAATTATTAAAAGTTTAAAGTTTGAATTGTTAAATGTTTAACTATTTAACCTCCAGCATAGTTTTCCCCATTAAGGACATTTAATGTCCTCCATTAAGGACATTTATTAATTTAAAGAGTTTTTTTTTATTAACATTTCTCAACATGGTTAAGAGCAGTCCATTTCAAGAACCAACATATATACAATATGATGCTCTCCTAAGGCCAAAACTACACATTACATTTGTCATCTTCTGCCAAAAGGCTACCGTATGGTTAATTACCTTCACTCCCTCTGTAATTCTGAAGATAACTTACCTAGGTCTTGACATCATGGAAATGCTCATTTCCCTGACAGCAGCAGCCAAGAATGTTCAGTGGGATCAAAGAAGAACACCTCAAGATGTTATGGAGGGGGAAATTAAACATGTGGTTGCTGCATTTGGCAGCTACCACACATTTCATGTAATGTGTAGCTCTGGCCTAAGTGAAGCTTACTAAATGCATACGTCCAGTTCAACAATTTTAGGCATTCTATGGGGATGTCAATCCATGATAAATATTTGAAATTATCTTCATCTTAATGAGCAATTCTACAGAGCAGCTTAAGTCCCAGAGGTATGTCTACAACTGCAAGGGACGTGCAACTTGTATGCTTGCTCAACCCAAAGAACCTTTGCTTGCACTCATTTTCCAAGGCCCCCTCCTGCTATGATTCCTTGGGCATTTTTAACAAGTCATTTATACACTGCATTTCTGCTCTCAGAAGAAAACCCAGGGTGTTTACAACAATAAAACACTTAAACAAATACACAAGCAGGTGAGTATTTTTAGAAAATTCTAAATCCTGTCAGAATCCTTCTAAGCTCTTTAGGGGGACAATATATGCACTAGCTTCTAAAGTTTCTACAGATAAAAAAGGGGGCAGGGCAGAATTATATAGTTCAACTGCTTCTGTAGCTGAGGAAGTGTCAGCAAACACAGCTATATTGGTATTTGCTATAGGTTTTGAACTACAAAACATACTGTATTAACATGCTGACACATGTTAAATAGAAGCAATAAAAATAAATAATAATAACAATAAAGTTTTGCTTCCTCATGGCTCACTGAAAGCTATTATTTCCACTATTAGGTACAGTGGTACCTCAGGTTACATACGCTTCAGGTTACATATGATTAAGGTTACAGACTCCGCTAACCCAGAAATAGTGCTTCAGGTTAAGAACTTTGCTTCAGGATGAGAAGAGAAATCGGGCTCTGGCAGCACGGCAGCAGCTGGAGGCCCCATTAGCTAAAGTGGTGCTTCAGGTTAATAACAGTTTCAGGTTAAGTACAGACCTCTGGAACGAATTAAGTACTTAACCTGAGGCACCACTGTATTGTGACTGACCTAGTACTTACATATTGTTTTATTTTGCAATATAGGTTACGCATTACAGTGAGTTTTCAAATTAAGAGCAGCACATATACAAATTCTCATTTCCAAAATCTACTAAGTTTCTGAAACAATACTGCTTTAGTAATGGGGACTGATATGACCATATTCTTGGTTTTGTGTGCATGGAATATTAACATTATTTTTACTGACAGAATGTTCTGTGTGGATTCTTTCAAGAAAAGTGCATGGGTGTGGCATTTTTGATCTTATGAAGTGCCTGGGTGTGACTTTTTTATCTTGTCATTTTGGAGGTCTACTTGACTTGTAATCAAAATAAATAAAATGAGAGGTGTGTGACATTCCCCAAATACCCCCTTTGAACTGGAAGTTCAAATAAGCTTAAGAATATACCAAACTATACACTTAGAAGAGTGTTCACTACATGATGGCATGAAATTGCATCCACTCCCCAAGGACTGAGGGTACAGCAGCCCACAACAAACAGGGTCATCACAAATCATACTGTAGGAGTTCAAAAAGATCCACCACCCACTACAAGGTGTCCAAAAATTCGGGATCCAGTACAACATCATAACATCTTGATCATCCAGCACCACAATCCATTCTACTCAGGATTAAGTGCTTATGCATCAAAGGATGTAGCTCTTTAAGTAATGTGTTGTCTAGATCCATATCTACCATATACTAGACAACTTTGCCAAAAAAAGCTCCACTGTTTGAAATATGGCAACCCTGCCATTCTCTTTCTATTCATTCATTCATTCATTCATTCATTCATTCATAACACTCAATGCCACCACATCCAATCAAGATTTTAGGGCACTGAAACTGTTGATAAATTGCAGTTGTAAAGTAGCATTTCTGATATACTAAACTACTGATGTTCTTTTCCCCCAGAAAACTTTTCTGTTATGATCCTTGAAACAGATTAAAATAATTTCACTGTTAAAATTACTATGATTAATGACTTAACATCAACATTTTCCTAGGAAACAGAATGAATGGATCCTTATTTTTTGTAAACCAAGAAATATTAATGTGAATTGCAACACTGTGATGCAAACATTACACCATCTTAGCAAAGCAACTTATGTATTTCATCTTTTTTTAGATTTGCTTGGAACATCATATTGCATTTCTATTAAAAACTTATTTTTAAATCTGGAGAAGGCTCCACTTAACTTCCTTATATAGATATATATGTGAATTTTGCAGTTTTCCCTGTTTAGGAAAGTTTTTAATATTTAATGCTGTACTGTTTTTAACATTTGATTGGGAGCCACCCAGAGTGGGTGGGCTAATAATAATAATAATACATAGCAATCCTATATAAAATATACAGGTTTCAGCAGATGTTTCCATTTAACAGAGTTTGGGGATCTAATAACTATTTTGTGTATGAAATTTCATACAGGAGCTGGACTTGGGGGGAAATATTTCAAATTTCTAACCAAACCAAAAGGATATTTAAAAGACAACACTAAAACCTATGCCTTTCCAAAGTTTTTCAGTGATCCGTTAAAATAAAATTTGAGTGGTTACTGAAGATACTCACTTGCTACAGAAAAGTTGTTAAGAGGATATGGTAGATCCACATCTTGCGGCTTTTCCTTATAGCCTATGAAAGAGCCATCTGTCTTCAATAGGAAGTATCTTGGCCTCCAGTTTTTTATATATTCACCTATATAAGAAAAGATTAATTCAAGGATTAATATGAACGTATATCTTGAAATATTCATTATAGCGTTGCCAAATGATCAGAAAAAAACTGGATGGGTCTCATCCTGTTTGCTTAACAATAGTTAGATTTACAGACATTAGTAAGTGAAACCTTTTCAAGAATGTACCTAAGCATCCTCTTCTGTGAATCTCTGCAGATCTAAATGTTGTTAAGGGCACAGTAGCACAGGTTGATAAAAAGCTTGCAAACCTAGCTTGTTTAATTCTCTTCTACTTTTAATTTCTTTTTAAAAAAATACTGTTTGGATATTCATTCATTCAAACGGGATTCATTCATTCAAACAGAATAGGCAGAAGACAGGTTTTCATTTACTTGTAGTTCACTGGATGAGTCACAGTAGATTGACAGCGGTTTCTGACTCCCAATAGCCACAGTAATTCTTTCTCCCTCCTCAAAATTAGCCTGTTAGAAACAGTGACCTTTACTATCTCATATGCAGAGTCTTCCCAGTATATACAGGTCATGGTGTATAGTAATTGACTTACCCAGTCCTAGAAGTGGAAGGGAAAAAATGAAGTGGAGTGGTTTCATTTGGATGGGGCAGGGGAGGAAGTGGGATGTTTTTGCTTCAAATTAGGCCAGATTCAATTATGACTACAAAAAAGAAGCAGACTGGTGAAAAGAAGGTGGATGGTGTCCCACTGTATGTTGAGCACCAGCTCTGCCCAGGAACCACCATTTTGAATCTAACTTCTCTACCACCCTGGCCCCTATTCTGAACAATTTTGATGTACCTCATAGTTACAGTAAAAAGGAAACAGACATTGAAAGCATGGCATTTGTCCCTGCTTGAATTAAAAAAAATGTTTATCTGGCAACAGCTTATTTGATTCAACTGTGCTTTTGTGTTGGGTCTTCTGATAATATGTTTGTGTGTGCATTCCTTTGACTGGACATCTAGACATTCACAAATGTCTAGGAGAGAGTGTTTGCCTTCAGGCAAGGAGAATGCCCAACACCATTTCCCACAAAGGCTCGTTGGTGCTGCAGCTTGGAGAAGATTAAAAACAGCTGGAATCTCTCCTGGTTTTTCCCCCAAACCTCAGTACAGTTGAGATAAGACTGCTTCCCTCCCAGAGGGTTTAAAATAGGCAGGGATTTCTCAGGGCCAACTAGATGATACATTCAATGCAAGAACATGTCTACACCATCTTCTGTGTGACAGCTGCTAAGATATTTGAAGACTGTTATCATGCTTTCCCTTAATTTTCACCTCTTCAGGATAAACATACCTAGATCTTTCAACTATCTCTTGCAAGGATTGGTTTATACATGCTTCACCATCCTGGTCACCCTCATCTAGACATGCTCCAATTTGTCAATGTCCTTCTTAAAATGTGCTGCCCAGAACAGGACACTGTATTCTGAAGTGGCCGAACCAGATCAGAACAGAGCAGAAGAATTACAACTAGCAATCTTGACTCTGTGCTTCAGTTATTAGAGCTTATGATTAGCAAGTGCACTGCATTGCTGGTTTATATTCATGTTGTCATCAGCTAAGAGTTTTAGATTCTGTCAAACAGATCTCTTTAATCCTGTATGTATCCTTCTGATTTTTTTTGAACCTAAATATAGGAATTTAATTTATCTTGTTTTCAACCAAGTATCCAACCTGCCAAGATAGTTTTCAATCTTGATTTTGTCATCTATTCAGTTTACTAGTCTTCTGAGTTTTGTGTTATCTGCAGATTTGATAAGCATTCCCTCTATACCCTCATTGAATCCATTTGTTCAAATAGCTGTGGATTGACATGGTAGTAGTGTAATTCAGCCCACATTTACTATTTCATCAGCAAGGATATTGTGAGAGACTTTTTTGAGTGTCTGTTGCAATCTGCTGACTTACCAAACTAATAACTCTATCGATTAATAAATGAGATAATTAATAAATGAGGTAAGTCTGAATTTTGCTAAAAGCTCTCTGCAACAATTTTAGTTCTTATAATATTAAGGTGTGTTTACCTTTGGTTTCATATGAAAGAAAAGAGTGATAGAAATAACCACATATGTAAGGTGACATTTCCATACCCTAGTATATAACACGAAAGGCAAGGTCGAATATTCACATTTGAAAAGCTAAACTGAGTGGACCAGTAATCCATTGAGTAAAACAGAGGGAAACACTTTGTGATAATTTAATCAAGTGCAACTCTGGAGTAGTTAAGATAGCAGTAGTTTTGCTTTAGAGTATTATTTTCTATCCAACTTCCTGCTGTGTTAAATGTAAGCTAAATTATTATTTTGCTTACATTTACGCCTTTTAGGTTTCAGAAACATACTCCTTATAATTAAGGAAGAGGTCTCTAATTTTGTACACTGCACTGGAGAAAACTGAGTAATTCACATCATTTATATATCGGTCAAGCTATTTAAAGCTACTACAGAGCATTGCTTAAAATAGGATTAAACTAATTCATGTTGTATCACAGACATTTCAACTTATTCTTCTTAGAAAATAAAGCACAGGAAGGTCCAAACAAGGCTGCAGCTGTGGATTCAGGAGAAACTTCAAAATTCATTTGTTTCCAATTTTTTCCCAGTGGAAGGGTTAAGTACATGCTTAACTGATGCTCTTTCTCTCTTTCATAATGTTAAATTAAATTGGGGAAAAATAGGTCATTAAGTTGTTGACTTTAACGTCTGAGTACATCTGGCCAAAGCTATGGATCTTTCAACCCCATTTATTTCAGGGGGCAAGAATGACTTTAAAATGAAAACATAAAAGGTAAAGGTAAAGGAACCCCTGACCATTAGGTCCAGTCATGGCTGACTCTAGGGTTGCAGCGCTCATCTCGCTTTATTGGCCAAGGGAGCTTCTAGGTCATAAGGCCAGCATGACTAAGCCACTTCTGGTGAACCCGAGCAGTGCACGGAAACGCCATTTACCTTCCCGCCAGAGCGGTACCTATTTATCTACTTGCACTTTGACATGCTTTCGAACTGCTAGGTTGGAAGGAGCAGGGACCGAGCAACGGGAGCTCACCCCGTCGCAGGGATTCGAACCGCCGACCTTGTGATCGGCAAGTCCTAGGCTCTGTGGTTTAACCCACAGCGCCACCCGCATCCCCAAATGAAAACATAGATTACTATAAAAAGAATGCTGCTGTGCTAAGTGGATAATTTGTTGTTTCATTTTTGCTCATTTAAGGTGAAATCTAACAAGGCTTCCATTTCCACTCCTCCCCTCCTGTAGTCACCCACGCACCCACAAAATTTGCTACAGAAGATCGCCAGAGAGAGATTCTGAGGGCACACAGGGGCTGAAAAGAGGCAAACAGCCAGATGCCTCAGAAGCATGCTATGGTTGATGGTACCGAGTTGCTGAAAGGTCCAACAGAACCAAATGAGATGCATTCACTTTTCAAGTTCCTAGTACAATATGACAAAGGCTGTTTCACCCTCGAAACTAGGACCAAGATAGGAACGTATATTAATCAAGCTGATCCAACGCACAGCCCAATGGCCATATGCGGCACTCAGTGCCTTTTGAGCAGTCCTCAACATTTGATCCCACCCCCACAGCCCTTGTGTTGCCCTCCCAAAGCCAGGTAAGCGAGGTGCTGGGCTTTGGGAAGGAAACATGAGGGCTCAGACATGAGGTGGGGAGCTCTAGGACCCTGCCAGAGCCTTGCAACTCCTCCCCAAATCCCAGCCCCTCACTTAGTTGATTTTGGGAAGGTAGCACAAGGGATGGGGGAGTCAAATTCTGCCCCCCCATGCCACACAACAAAGCATTGTTTCATGCCAAAGTACTCTTGCAGCCCACTTGGTATGAAATGTTGGGCTGTGCTGATCTAAATAGTGTCAACCAAGAAAGCCTGGAGCTGTCACCACTTGCTTCAACATCTTATTCTAAAAGAGTAAGTTACACTAGCCAAGAATTATCAAGGGTGGTTGGCTTGAAGGAGGCTTTTTATAGTTAAGTTCTCACAACTTATTTTCTTCAATGAAGTTGGAAACAGTGATGTAAAAATTTCAAGAAATCTTGAAGCCATGGGGAAAACTGTTTTTCCCTTGAGGGGGTGGTTTTATAAAAATAAGAAATCTGGGGGAAGGGAATCGGAAAATACATAACCATTTACAGATTGAAGGTCATTTTATTATTTTTGGAACATAAAATGTATCATGGATAACTTGGTTTGCCATAAAAACTATGTTGTATATTTAAAATGCAGTTTATTCAGAAAATAATTGCAAAATGAATTTTCTTTAAGAAATATTTCACAAATGGAGCTACAAGCTACTGAATGGTAAGGGACCTCTTTGGCCAATTTATGAGGAGCAGGCAAAAAACAATAAAAACAGAAGGAACAATCAACATTAGAAAAATCAAGAAAAATCAAGTGTCAAGCAGACATACAGCACTTATTTCCCTAAAATGAACTGAGAAAAAGAACTGGGGAAATCAATGAATATACGTGAAATTTATTCAGCCTTATTTTCTAAGCTAGTGGCATCAGTTTCAGTTCCTGTTTCTCCTCCTTCCTAGATTGAAACAAATTTCTCTACCCTTTCAAAAGCAAAGAAGGTGTTGATCCCTTCTTCTTTCTCGTGTGATAATGACAGTGCCCCCAAGAGGTAGAAATACAGCTTGCTCTTGCATTTGAGAAGTTTTTCAGCTTACAATTCAAGGATTGCTTGTCCTCAGTATACAGGAATTGCAATTATCTATACTGTCTTACTTTTTAGACATCATAGGGGTGTCTTTAACATTTTAGCCGTCATTCTAAAAGAAAATATTCTGCACTCCTTTTTTCCATTTTTTTGGGGGGGGAGGGACAGACTTGGGGGAAATATTTATACCTAATCCCTGGGCTTCCACATCTCTAGTTGGAATACAGCTCTCAACCAGGGAAACATGCACATTTTCCATCACCCGCATGCCCAGTCCCCTTCTAGTGTTCTTAAACAGTCATGATGGATATTGGTCTGGAACACAG